AAAAATAGCTAACGAAGGAGGACTTCCCAGTAGAGTAAACAGAACGAAGTGTTCCAAAAAATTAATTTAAACATCATCAGTCAAACTCTTGGCATTGACCTAAACACCGAAAAGAGCAATATCACGCGATAACGTGCGATGCTGCTTTATTGTCACTAACATAAAGGCCATATTTGAGTAGATAACATTAGTGTGCAATTGGAAACACATGTCGATGCTGCTCAAAGGCGTCATTTGCATGACATATGGGGGCGATTCATTCGGCACCGCACTTTTTTGGATATACTTTTTTTCTAGCGAAACGAAAACTTGCTTTTAACGCCACTGTAAAACAAACAAAGGGTAGGCAAAACGAATATGTCAGGGACACATTGGACACTGCTCCGCCATTAATTTGGCGCCCAACTTGTGGCAGTTCCTACAATTTTTATTTTTGTTATAACTCACGCGGCTAGCGAATCTAGTTACATAATTTTAACTTTGTAACATGCAATTCTGATATTTTTTGTGTTTGAAAAGTCTGACAAAAAAGGTTTTAGGTGAAGATCTGAAACACATCTGAAATGAAATGCGGTATTAAAAATAATTCAATTTATTTTTATACATAACCCTCGTTCAGAAGCTGTATAAAATTTCACTCGCGCCTACCATCAAGCCTTTGCTTACAATTTACCGCTAACTCTCACTAACACTAGAATAAATAAATAAAACATTTGCAACAAACGTAAGTGTTGATAGTTGAATATAATTACTCTCCATTTAATATCTGTTGATTACAAAAATAATTATTATTACAGACATGATCGATCACGCAGTTAAAGAATAGGTTTATTTACTGAAGATTTATTTACGAAACGAATAACTAAACAATAACTATTGCTGCTAACTATATATTTCGTATTCCATTTTACTGCTCAAACCGTAGTGGTACATAAATGGTAGTGGGCATTATTGACATGACCACAGTAGATTTTTTATAACAATTACTCAAATCAGCTACAAAACCTTAGTAGTAACAATACAAACAGTAATTAAATAAAATGCTTTAACGTCTACTGAACCGTGCAATGGCTAAATTTTTTATTTAAAAAGTTGCATGTTTATTTCTAAGACCATTTTCCTCATGTTGAGTACGCACAGTCGCCCATTTTTGTCCATGTACCATTTTTGTCGCAAAGTAGTACCTATTACAACAATATAAGATGCCGGTGTATTGACTAACGTGCTATCTTCCGTACATAAGTACTACTAAATATGGAAGCAAAAGCCCTTCTCGTTTAGCTTTAGCTAACACAATGAGCAAACTTGAGCCTTGGCTTAACCGGCAAGTAGGTTGCCTAAGGTTCATTGATCTGTTAAAAGATAGTTATTGGGAGTTTTAGGCCTGCCCTTTTGCCCCTATGTCTGAGAGTCCTCCACCTAGATATGAGCTCCCCTGGCTTACCTGGAAGTCTTTAAATAGACTTCGGACGCAGGTTGGCCGTAGTAAGAACAATCTGGTCGGGTGGGGATTCTTGGATGGATTAAACATGGAGTGCAGGTGCGGTTTTGTTCCCCAGTCGATGAAGCACCTGATGTCGTGCCCTTAGTGCCCGCCCAAGCACCTGCACTCAGGACGATTTGATGAGTGCTGCTGACAACGACACAGACACACTTGTGGCGGAGTTTTGGGCTGACACTGTGTAGGTTTGTTGTCGACACGAAAAGAAGAATAAGCTAACAGAATGAGCAAACTTGAGCCTTGGCTTAACCGGCAAGTAGATTGCCTGAGGTTCATTGACCTGTTTAAAGATAGTTATTGGTTTTGCATTAGGTACAGTCAGCGTCAAATAGTTCGTGACACCCAAAGTAGCCAAAAAGTTCGCAAGACAGGTTGCAGCACAACAGACTACATTTAAAAAAAATTCTAGCTTTATTTTAGCTCTATTTTTTAAAATGTAGTCTATTGTGCTGTACAGTCATTATGACTGTACAGTCATCCCAACTAATATTATAAATGCGAAAGTAACTCTGTCTGTCTGTCTGTCTGTTACGCTTTCCCGCTTAAACCTCGCAACCGATTTTGATGAAATTTGGCATAGAGATAGTTTGAGTCCCGGGAAAGAACATAGGATAGTTTTTATCCCGGTTTTTGAAACAGGGACGCGCGCGATAAAGTTTTTCTGTGACAGACAAAATTCCACGCGGGCGAAGCCGCGGGCGGAAAGCTAGTTGTCAAATAAAGAGGCCAAAAAGTTGACAACACAACCTCCTTGACAAATCTCCCCTTTCACTGAAAAATCCGGCAGAATGCTTATCACGCCAAGGGATCTGTACCACTACACAAGATTATACCTTGCACGGTGTACCGAATCTAGTCAACTAGAGAACCTACCGAAACCAAAAATTCTCAAAAAACAAGATTAAGGTGATGTAAATGTACCTTTGATTTTTGAACCTGCGATCTCTGTAAGTTAACGTTGGCAATTGTTTCAACCACTGCGCCAAATCGATCACCACTCATCAGTGTTTGATTTTGTTTGTTTATTTATTGCAAATACGATACAAACAAACTAATAAATTACAGTCCATTTAAGTTAAAATTCAATACAAGTCATATTTAGTTTTAAAATGAATTTATGTACCTGAATACGGAACTGGACTTCTGAATAAATTGACAATACTCAATTGTTTATTGCATCCATAATGTTACAACAATAGTTATGGACGCTAATCACTTTCACAAATTAACTGGACTATAAATTCATAAGTATTTATATGTGAAAGCTTTCGTTCTAAAACAATTCAGTTTTACTTCTAATCATAAGAAAAAAGATTGGAGCTAGATTTTAATTTTATTATTTAATGAATGGTATTTATAATGAAAGAAAAAAAACGGCGCGCGCGCACGGGACAGAATCTTTCTTTTTACCCGACTGCGCCAGAAGGAGGGTTATTTTAGACTTTTATTCGTAATCAGCAAATTAGCCATTGACGGTACAGTGTGACAAAGTTCCATTAACTATCATGTAATTTTTAACTTTACTTTTTATTTTTCAGCGACGTCATATTTTGAACGGTAATATTGCAGTGCTGCTACGACGTTACTGCCTACGTATTTTATTTACAATTTCTAATTACAAGGCCAAATTTTAATTTACTATTGGTGGTTAGAATAAGATTTTGAGTGCCATTTCATAACACATGCAGACTCGTACAATCGTAGCACCACTGTAAAATTACAAGTAATAATACAAATAATTGCAAGGAAAGTATTTTTTATAAACAACAAAAGCGTGCAAAAAAGTGCTTTAATTTATTAGAAAATAAATAAATCTATTTCAGTGTATTTTTTAAGTTTTTAAAATCACATTAATTAATAGATAGATTATTTCAATAACGTTTAAAAAATTGCACGGATCCACGCGGAATGTGCTTGTTTTTAAAAGCAAAAAATAGTGCTTTTTAATTTAAAATCGATAGAACCAGGCAAAAATAAGCCATAATGGTGGCTTACATTAAATTCTACAACCATTGGACATAAATTTATAACAAATCTAAGTGCATTTCTATTATAACCAAATTGCAATTAAAACAATAAATGCAAACATTTGTTTAATAAAAATACAAAATACTGCTGTCGATTTTTACTTTCGTTTGGCAGATCCTTTCACAATATACATTTATTACATCTTGCTTAAAGAACATAATTATTTTGAAATATAAAATGTTAGTGCTCATGAAACTAACATTTGTCCGCCACGGGATTCGAACCCATGTGGTCCATTACTCCAACTGAAGGCCAAACAGCCATTAATTAAAGTGTTCTGAAAACTGAAAGAATCTTACAATATTCTCTTCAATACATAAATAAATATATTATTTTCATTTATCACTTTCTCTATGAAGCCTTCTATTATTTATTTACAAATGTTACAGAAGTGTCTAATTCCGTCAGAAGAATGCACTTTTTCTGTCCTATCTATTCCCAATTCACTGGAAGCATTTTGCTCACTTCTGATTTCGAGAAATCCTAGTAAAAACGACCTACTTTCATTTATTTTAATTCCGCGGATTAAAGCATTGTTTCTCAGACATTTATTACTATTTTTATTTTATTTTAACAATAGTGTTAATTTGAGAAACAACCGCCTAAAGATAGCTCCATATTTTTTATATTTATATTTATCATTTCTCTGTTGAAAAATATTTACATAAAGATCTACATACATACATAAGATATTTTATTCAATCATTTACATCAGCAAACTACACTATCTATTCAACAAACACGCATAAGTCTTTTCTATTTAGAAAGGCAGGAAATACTTATAACATTTATTCTGCAAAACCGAAAATACAAAATTTAATTCTACCTCCAATAGCTTTGCAAACTTTTGAGTGACCATGAGGTCTGGAAAGCGCCCATATTTTGTTTTCGAAATAGCACAGTTGCTATTACAACTATTAATTTTCCTTGATGACCTGTCGTTCATCTGATTTGAATCGTATACATAAATATATCAACACTATGAAAAGAAAAAAAAGAAGATAGTTAAGAATATATAATAGTTAAGAAGGTATTTTTTATGATATGATAACTAATAAGTTGTCTTAAATATTTCTTTTATTCAGTACAAATCGAAAGACTTTTGACTTAGTAAAAGTCTCTTTAATTTCAGATTGCATACAATTATGGGCGCCATACGTTTAGCTATGTTTTATAGCCGTTTTAATCACTGTCCAATTTTATAATTTCCATTGTAACATTTTTCTATTGTTGTAGTAACTAACATTTACGAGTTTTTTATTATTCACAGATAAACCTACACTTTTTCAACTCTTTTCTCCTTACTTTAATCATAATATTATGTAAAATATACATTAGGGTGGTCCTTATTTTTCGACTTTTGAATTCTCCCCGGGGCACTTTCTCATTCGATTATATACCTCTAAATATGAAATTAGCTTTTTTTGTTTTTTTTTTTGGTTAATATTTAGAGGTCGCTATATTATGTAAAATATACATAGTTTATATAGGACTTGGAAAAATCCAGATTTGTGATATTATTTTGTTGACATTGTTATCTTCTTTGTTATAATAAAGTAGGTATCACATATTTGTATAAATATCAACTATCCATGAGTATGTGACAATGTAACATGGAAATGCTTTTCAGAAAGTAGATTTTGATATCTCAAATAGTCTTTTGAATATTGATACAGATGAATATTCATAATGTTAGGATCCAATAGCCAGATAACTGTCTTTAACATGAAACCAGATAACAATTAGACCTGTCAAAATTAAAGGCCACAATGCAGTAGTGAATACTAATACTATACATTTTATAATTATCATACAATTTTAATATTTCAAGGCAGTGTTTAGAGTGTATTCAAAGGTTTATGATATAAGAACTTCAACAGACTAAATAAATAATCAACCCTGAATTTCACAATCAATTCTTAATCTTCAGTTGAAAACTTTTTAAATCAAAGACTTTGATTTAGGAAAAGTTAGTCAAGTTGATCCCTTACTGAACACTGTCCTCGATTACGATACCAGCTCATCCAGTGCTTTGTCCCTGTTGAACTCATGCTTGGCCAGTGCTCCCAGAACTCTTCCCTCCGAGAAGCCGAGGTCCATCAAATCACCGAGTATTAAAAGTCCTTCGATCACCTGAAACAGTTTAAATATTACATCAACATAAGAATTCAAGTGATTAACTATAAAATCATGTCTGTTGCTTAGAATTAAGACTTAAATTATTGTAAGTAATTGAATAACTTAGTTACTATGCTGATAAACAGATTATTAGCAGCTTAGCTAGCGCAGAAGCCTTTTAAAAACATTTTCAGAAATGACAATTACTGCCATTTAATACACATGAATAAGAAAATGTAGAACAGTGAATGTTAATCTATTTTATAATGTTAAAAGAAAACTTNTTTAAATCAGACTTTGATTTAGGAAAAGTTAGTCAAGTTGATCCCTTACTTAACACTGCCCTCGATTACGATACCAGCTCATCCAGTGCTTTGTCCCTGTTGAACTCATGCTTGGCCAGTGCTCCCAGTACTCTTCCCTCCGAGAAACCAAGGTCCATCAAATCACCGAGTATTAAAAGTCCTTCGATCACCTGTAACAGTTTAAATATTGCATCAGCAAAATAATTCAAGTGATTAACTATAAACAATCATGTCTAAATTATTGTATGTATGTAATAGGGCAACTTAGTTACTATGCTAAAAAACAGCTTATTAGCAGCTTAGCTAGCACAGAAGCCTTTTAAAAACATTTTCAGGAGTGTACATGAAAAAGAAAATGTACAGTGATGTGAATCTATTTTTTAAATATGTTTTAAGAATACTCCTTACCTTTTTGTCATTATCACCTAAAAGGCCACAAACTCTTGCCACCCTGTCAAGTGGGAAGCCCATTCCATGAATCTTTTGACACATACTCTGTTGCTGAGCTGGCAACTTATCAAACGGATTGGGCAGTCTCTCAGACTTCCTTCTACTTCTCCTTTCCTCTTTCTTGTCGCTGCTGAAAGAGGAACGAGGAACATTCTGGATGTTTTTAGGAGCAGGACTTGTAGTGCATGATCTCTCATTTGATCTTAATTTAGCCGATGCTAACTCTTCATTTAGCTCGCGAACTATATCAGGCACACTTCTAGATCTTGACTTAATAGTGCTTTGGGAGTTAGTTGACTCATTATGACTATTAACCGGAACAGTTTGCTCTGGTATGGTGCTGTAACCTGAGTTTTCTGGAGAATATGGTATTTGAGGAACTTGGAAATAATATGGTTGGGGTATGTAAGTGGAGCCATTCGCTGCTGGATTCAAATCTGATGTTGTTGGTAGTTGGTTGCCATAATATGTGGGATCCACTGTGGGATATGGATTTGTAGGAACATAATATTGGTAATTTGGCATGTACATATTCATATTTTCCATTGGCATAGGGTTATCACAGGTGCTTTCTGCTGGTACATAGTAACCATTTGAAACAGGATAATGTTGGGGCAAATACATGACACTTTGACCCTGAATTGGCTGCTCCATATTGTATGAATTAGGCAAATACGTCATAGCCTCCAAGTGCGCTTGGGATGCACAGTTAGGCAAGTTTGTATATGTTTCCGGCACATAGGTCTGTGGTTGACTTGTGGAGGAATCTCTCTGGCTCTGTAACACTTGAGCTAACAGTTCCATATCATTTATTGTCTTCAGTTCAACATTATCAAACGGACTCGAGGTATCATTTTCAAAATCTTTATAAGTCAACATGTCTATATTACTATACTGTGGCATCTTAGTTATTTTAGCAGTCATCTTTAACTCTTGCAAGGGATCTGGATCATCCAGGAGGCTGTTTTGATGGTAGCTCGTCTGCACCTGAATGGGCTGGAGGATGTTCGGTTGGGAGTCTTGTGCGTTGCTACAGGAGGGATAGGTGAGTTCATTGGTTGTCTCTATTATCTCAGGGCTATCTTGTTTGTGGGTGGTATCACAGGTGTGCTCGGCCTTGTCGTCAAGCGACAGAGCACTGATCTCGTCGGTGCTAGGGTAGGACACTTCAGACACACTCAGCTGCTTGAGCTTCTCCTCGGCCTCGGCGGCCGCGATCGCGTCCAGTTTCTTTTGTTTGGCCTCCTGCAGCAGCTGCAAGCGATGCCTCCACTCATTTTTCTTCGTCTCTTTCGCACTCCTGAGCTCCTTAAGCTTGGCGAGCACATTCGTCTCGAAGGTTGAGCAATATTTAACGCTTTCGACGACATTTCTGGCTCGCTGTGGACATTCGCTTACGCTATAAGGCAATTCGATTGAAGGAGGTCGTTTGTACTTCTCTGATATTTTAACGGGAACGCCGTCCATGAAATCACCGAAATGTGACATATCAAAGTTGTTTGCTTGTGGTGGTGATAAAAATCAAACAATGAGACGACAAAGTTTGTTTCTATTGACTTTTTGCACTTTTAAGGTTACATAGTCCTTATTCAACGTCATCACTTAGGTAATAGGATTTTACACGATGAAAATTTCAAGGGTTGAATAATTTACATCTTCCATAATCTTTAAAATCAAATTTAAAGCCTTTTATTAATTTATTTTAATTAAAATCCAGATTTTTACGTGGGACTGACAAGACAATTTGACAAAAGCAAGTGTCAAAATTGACAAACAAACAAAGTAAGTTGCCAGGCAAAAAACACAGGTTCCCCGAATTTACTAAAATAGAATATAAATATTTTGAAGAAAGATTGGACACGAGAGAGTTTCTAGGTGACTGGCCTGCTACAGGTAGGAAAGTTTTGGAGGCACTTACTTGGCAACGCTGCCTGTCGAAGCTTACTTGCAAGTCCTGGGTTTTGAAGACTGCCCGGCCCGGGGCTTACATCCAATAGGTATAGCGAGCTTCTTGCTGCTGCACACACAATGCACAATAAATTCACAACATAAAATATTTTGTGAAAACATTGTTTGGACATTGTTGTTGACTGGACGTATTGTAAAAGTTCCCGCGTCTTCTCGATGATTCGATTCGAAACGAACAGCGCCCTCTCGTGGCGTGTTAGTTAGCGTACTCATTATTGGTTGACCAAAGAGTTTGAAATATGGGTAATAATGGGGATGCGTAGTACATGTTTAATTTAAATATCTAAATTACCTAGAAAAAACTATATGTGTGTATAACTACAAACTTGGTGACAACCTGACAACAAATAGTGACCCTTATTCAAGGGGGAAGGTTAAGGAACAAATTACCAAACAACGAAAAAGCGTCTTATGTGAACCAAAAATTCAGAAAAGCCTTGGAAAAGCCTATAAAATCACCTTTTTCTTTAGGGCTTCCTGCAAGATTCGTGTCGTGATTCTTAAAATGATTTCCCTGATTTCCCTAAAAAATATCATTACATTTTACCTACATTTTATGAGAAATCTTGTAAATATTTTTTGTCATGTGACCAAAGACATAAAAATACTATGTATTGTACTTATTGTAATTATAATGACTGTAATTTATTAACAGCCTTTAGTTAATAAAAGTGCACTTCGTAAATATTCAATAAAATAATATTTTAAAACATTTTAATAAAACCTCAATGCTGGTTTGAAATGGAATGGAACACCAATTTTCAAATGAAAAAAAAAATAAAATCACGTGTGACGTTTAGTAATATCCGTCAGATGTCGCTAATGTAGCTCAAAAGTCATGGCGGATCTTTTTCATTAGATTTTACTGATTTGCCGTAATTCGTGGGTAGATTTATTATTACCGGCGTCGAAATAATTATAGCTCGTTCTATTCGTACGGTGAGAGCCCAGTTACACGCGCATCATTATCAGCCAAGTTCCGCCACCGACTCAGTGAAGACGTTTTTGACGGATCGTCTCGAATTTCGGTGGGTCAAGATAAATAGATAATCGACGTCGCACCGTACTCTAATTGAAATANAAATTTTTTGATCGAAATTATTCTAAGTGTCGCGCCCCGGTTCCTATACAAGCACGCTTTAGAACTTCAGTCGTCTCTACACGGGAGGGGGTTGGTCCTACGGGGGTGGGCTACATGACCTTTTCTCCTTGGTTCGACATCCTCTAGACGATGACAGCATAGATTTGCGAAAATTAGAACTTTTTGGAAAAACCGTAAAACTTGAATCGCTTCTAGAGGGTCGGGGGTTGGTCCTACGGGGATGAAGTACATGACCTTTTTTTCTTGGTTTGAGGTCCCCTACATGATGGCATCAAAAGAATCGCCACTTTCGGGAAAAATTTTTTTGATCGAAATTATTCTAAGTGTCGGAAGCCACCTTTAATTGGCTCTAAATCTGAAAGCGTTTGTTTTAGAGAGGTAGACCATATAAGCTTTTGTGCTTTGTTTTACGTCTTCTATGCGATTCTTGCAAGAAAACAAGGAATAATTGAAGAAAAAAAAACTCGTTAGCACACTTTTAATTGGCTCTAGAAAGTTAACGGTTGGTCCTAGAAAAAAAAGTTATCTGAAGATTAGTCTTATTTTTATCTATTCTAAACATTCCCGGCAAAAAAAGCCAAAAATTAAAAAAAAAAAAATTTTTCATAAAAATTTTTCTAAGTCTTTTGCCCCATAGCGCCCCGTTTCCTATACACTGACCGAATTACTTGTTCTACCTTCACATTTAGTTAATAAAAATAAAAACAGTTATAAATTATAACTGACAATAATTTTCAAAATACCTGCTATCTAAAAGCTCTATTTTAATGGATGAAATAGAAGCAACTTAGTCAATAGATGGTCTTCTATGAGTGGCATTTATGGTGATAAATTAGTTTTAGATTGTCTACCAAATAGTCACTATTGAGGCTATTACCATTTCATAGCAGTGGTTGATATTGCTTTTTTTCTATTTATCATATTGTATCATATATTAACTTTATTTATTCTTTATTGAATTATTTACTGTCTGGTGTTACATACATTTATTCTCTAAGTCATGTCATACTTCTTTAAACAGCATGTTAATGAGTAAGCATGAAGTTTGACCTACTGACCTACATTTGAAATAGAAAATTAGGAATTTTATCCTAATTTGGAAAAAGAAACTCAATTTCCTTAAAAAATAGATTTTGGAACAAAATTCTAAAAGTTTATCACATTTTTTATTTTGATATTTGCATAGTTTAACCCGGTTATTTTAAATCTGCATAATACCATACTGCTACTAAATCTATATGTACTGTGCTCCCAATATGTGTTAAACAAGCATTCGCAATTTACACTAGAGTACTGAGATAAGTTAACATTAGATAACATGTAAATAACATTTACAGATGTAACCTTGTGAGATAGATAACAAATAGATTGTAGTTACAAATAAATACAATTCAGTCAGACTGTTAAGCTGAAGGAATTTACGTTTTTTTAAAGAATACGTCAAAGTATAGTCAAATACATGGAAATAATATCCTTATAATAAATCACATTTTATTTGTACATTTAAAAATATAAACAAATAATGGCAATAGCTATTGAAAAACCACATAATTGTGAATGCATGAATCTGTATATTTGGGCAATTTCTTTATTATCACCTTACTTGTCTCAGTTACCGAATTTAATCCATAAGCGTACCGGAAAACGCAGCACGGGACGTCCACACGTGGACCGACGACCTGATAAAGGTAGTAGGAAGGCGCTGGATGCAGGCCGCTACCAACCGTGCGATGTGAAAGTCATTGGGGGAGGCCTATGTTCAGCAATGCACGTCCTGTGGCTGAAATGATGATGTCTCAGTTGTTTCCAAGTGTTAAATATTGGAATGTAGGATGGACGGTTAACGTGCGCTTTCGACGCTGTCGGGTCATTAGCAGCTTTCAAGGCTACTGAATTAAGCTTCTTGTATGTACAGCACGTACGTTTTCTTCAGCGACGTTGCGTGGCTGAGCGTCGCTACTCAGTAATTTATTTGTCTGTTGGCAATGAGGATCAGTACTNGTTTTCCGCAACATGGCGAGGGTTTTTATGTTCCTGGTCAGGCTATACATGTTTAATTTAAATATCTTAATTACCTAGAAAAAACTATATGTACCTACACTATAATAATATAGCCTACAAACTTGGCGACAACCTGACAACAATAGTGATCCTTTTTCAAGGGGGAAGGTTAAAGAACGAATTACCAAACAACGAAAAAGCGTCTTATGTGAACCAAAAATTCAGAAAAGCCTTGGAAAAGCCTATAAAATCACCTTTTCCTTTAGGGCTTCCTGCAAGATTCGTGTTGTGATTCTTAAAATGATTTCCCTAAAAAATATCATTACATTTTACCTACATTTTATGGGAAATCTTGTAAATATTTTTTGTCATGTGACCAAAGACATAAAAATACTATGTATTGTACTTATTGTAATTATAATGACTGTAATTTATTAACAGCCTTTAGTTAATAAAAGTGCACTTCGTAAATATTCAATAAAATAATATTTTAAAACATTTTAATAAAACCTCAATGCTGGTTTGAAATGGAATGGAACACCAATTTTCAAATGAAAAAAAAAATAAAATCACGTGTGACGTTTAGTAATATCCGTCAGATGTCGCTAATGTAGCTCAAAAGTCATGGCGGATCTTTTTCATTAGATTTTACTGATTTGCCGTAATTCGTGGGTAGATTTATTATTACCGGCGTCGAAATAATTATAGCTCGTTCTATTCGTACGGTGAGAGCCCAGTTACACGCGCATCATTATCAGCCAAGTTCCGCTACCGACTCAGTGAAGACGTTTTTGACGGATCGTCTCGAATTTCGGTGGGTCAGGATAAATAGATATTCGACGTCGCACCGTACTCTAATTGAAATAATACGCCTAATATGACGCAGTAGACGCCCAGAAGCGTCACTCCAACGTGTTTACGGATTGAGGGACAGGTCGGTATGGTAAAGAAATATTCTGGTACGTTCGCCGGTTTTCAAATGCCTAATAACCTGTTCTCGCCGGCAGATCGAGGAGGCAGCTATGAACGAGGGAGCGCCTATGATGTACCATGGAAACGGGGGCTTCGGAGGGCCGGGGCCCATGTACATGGTTGCGGGAGTGGACAGACAGCCTCGGCATTACCCATTGGAGGTGCTGCAGGTGATGGGAGGCCCCGGGGCGCGCGGCGGGGGCTCGCCGGGCCCCGGCCAGGTCACCCCGCGTCGGTGGCAGCAGCGCCGCGACCGACAGACCAATAACAAAGGGGACAACACAGCATTTGGATATGAATCTGATGATTCCAGTTTGTCAAGCAATGCATCTGGATCCAACAAATCTGGGGAAAAAGGTGAGTTGTATTCACTTTGATAGAAACAAGTGAAGGTAGCTTATCAATTTTGATGTAAGGCCATAGAATTTATTATGAATGTTTTTGCAGTTGCCTAAATTAATACACTGAAACATAAACTGAATTAGGACTACCCTCTTGAGTGTTTGTAATTAATAATATTTACACAGGTTGCCTCATAACCAAGCCATTTAACTGTTTATTCAGTTTATCAGACATACTGGCTTGTTTTGTTCCAATTGTATAAATTGTGTAGAGTAAAAACACTTGGTGAGGAATTACTTGTTCTACCTTCACATTTAGTTAATAAAAATTAAAACAGTTATAAATGATAACCGACATTAATTTTCAAAATACCTGCTATCTGAAAGCTCTACCTATTTTAATGGACGAAATAGAATAACAGCCTTAGTCAATAGATGGTCTTCTTTAAGTGGCATTTATGATGATAAATTACTTTCAGATTGTCTACCAAATAGTCACTATTGAGGCTATTACAAAATTACAAATTCATAGCAGTGGTTGATAATGCTTTTTTTCATTTATCATATCATATTATGATAATAACTTTATTTATTTTTTATTGAATTATTTACTGTAATTTAAAATTGTCTGGTATTACAATGTTTATTCTTTAAGTCATGTCATAACTTCTGAGCATATTAATGAGTAAGCATGAAGTTGACCTACTGACCTACATTTGAAATAGAAAATTAGGAATTTTATCCTACTTTGGAAAAAGAAACTCAATTTCCTTAAAAAATAGATTTTGGAACAAAATTCTAAAAGTTTTACATTTTTTATTTTGATATTTGCATAGTTTAACCAGGTTATTTTAAATCTGCATAATACCATACTGCTACTAAATTTATATGTACTGTGCTCCCAATATGTGTTAAACAAGCATTCGCAATTTACACCAGAGTACTGAGATAAGTTAACATTAGATAACATGTAAATAACATTTACAGATGTAACCTTGTGAGATAGATAACAAATAGATTGTAGTTACAAATAAATACAATTCAGTCAGACTGTTAAGCTGAAGGAATGTATGTCTTATTTATTTATTTATTTATTTAAAGAATACAGCAAAGTATAGTTGAATACATAGAAATAATATCCTTATAGTAAATCACATCTTAATAATGGCAATAGCTATTGAAAAACCACATAATTGTGAATGCATGAATCTGTATATTTGGGCAATTTCTTTATTATCACCTTACTTGTCTCGGTTGTTTTCAAGTGTTAAATATTGGAATGTCGGATGGACGGTTAACGTGCGCTTTCGACGCTGTCGGGTCATTAGCAGCTTTCAAGGCTACTGAATTAAGCCTCTTGTATGTACGGCACGTACGTTTTCTTCAGCGGCGTTGCGTGGCTGAGCGCCTTTACTCAGTAATTTGTCTGTTGGCAATTGTAATATTTATTGAAAAATGTAACACAATTTGACCGCCAATGAAAAGTCCAGTAGCTTAGGTTTAGGTAGAGCTGGGGCGAATTTTAACATATGAACCTGTTGCCAGCAGGAGAAACAGTCATGTTCATCTGTCAATCGTCAATTAACTTTTTATCACGTGTTTAACGGATTAACGTTAACTTCCGTTAAACCTTCCGAAATGTAAGGTTTTAACGGATTAGCGATTAACGAAGTGAACCACATATTTGATTAGCGATGCTCAGCACAGCATTGGGAGGAGCTAGATCTTTACTTAGTTAAGTTTAGGCTGACGCGAGGATACTTAAATTAAAACGGTTAGACTGCTTTTCCACCAGAGATGTGCGAGGATGCGTAGCGAGGGATGTGTTTGTAAAGAACAAATAGAATCGCTTCATTTACCTCGTCTCGGTAAAGACGTATCCTCGCACACCTCTGGTGCAAACGCAGCCTTAGCGACTGTTGCTGACAGTCGCCTTGCTTGCGATAGTGGTAGCCACTATCGCATAATGTCGCTCGTCTGTGAGCTCAAGTAGACGGGAAAGTAAACAGTAATTATTATCCTGTGGGAAGAGCATTTAGATGTGGAGTGTAGACCTGAAAAGTAAACAAATCCCACCACCACCCATGGTTTTCACGGCATACGAACCAAATTTCGGGAGAGCACGTGGATACTTGCTCTGGGCTCCTTTCCCCGGGGGCTATGAGCTACTCTCCCCGTTCTGGGGCTGCTACTATAGTCTGGTCCGTGAGCACGTAGAATTTTGTCCAATGACCCCAAGCTACCCATCCTTATTGCTCGCGCGTAATTATGTAGCTATCGCGCTCGCACACTCACTGCGGGTGCCAGTCGCACAGTCGCGACAGCAATATAATTACGCGCGAGCGATAAGGATGGGTAGCTAGGGGTCATTGGACAAAACTCTACGTGCTCACGGACCGGGCTTTAGTACAAAAACGGGTGGCACCCTATGGCACCGAACTGTTCGGGGCCGTATCGCTGAAAAGTAAACAATCGTTGTCGCGTTCCCTGCAGGCGAAGCAGCATCGCGCAGTTCAGAACGCAGCAGCGGCAGCGGTTAGAGCGCGGGCGGGCAAGCTGGCTTTATTAACGAACGGCGCTAATTAGCATAATATATCGGCAGCCTTAGGTGTTGGCGTAGACCCGGAAAGTAAAACCAGAGTAAATACAAATGAGTAGGGCATCTTCATAGGAACACACGGGCGCGGTTTGTATGTGAGCGCGCCAACACGTATGCGGCGCGCACGCACACATAGACAAAAGGACATCATTCTTTTTGGGCCTTTTCTAAAAGTGCCGGCCAACAAAAAATTATGGTACGTATTGTTAGAACTAGCTATTTGGAGCAATAGTTAATATGGCACAAAAGTTGTAGGACCACTCAGAACAAAGTCATACAAGTTCGATGATTCATCATTTTCATACATTTATTGACTTTTAAAGTGTTGGCAAACTTGAAAATAATTACATATATGTTTTGTTAGAAACTCATGATCCAAAACAATTATCAACCGACCGCTCTAAGTTAGCGATCAAATGACGCGATGACGAAACGAAAAAGATACATCCGTGGCCCGCGCTAGCAGTGTCGCTGTGGCCGGGAAGAAACGAGCAAACATGCCAGCCAATAGGATGGCTCGGAGCATACCCGTCAGTGAATGAGACGGGGACATTGAAAACTGAAGTGAAGGTCATCCAGTTATCCATGCGACTCGCGTTACATCAAACGGCTACCTGCTTGCGTTATCGTTAAACATCATTGTTAAAGCCCGGTCGCCGAGTACGTAGAATTTCGTCCAATGACCCCAAGCTATCCATCTTTTTCGCTCGCACGAATCTATGTTGCTGTCGCGCTCGCACACTCACTGCGGCCGCCCGTCGCACAATCGCGACAGCAATAGGTATAATTACGTGCGAGCGATAAGGATGGGTAGCTTGGGGTCATTGGCCAAACTTCTACGTGCTCGGCGACCGGACTATATGTGAATATTCGACTCAGATTCCGTTTGTTGTGTGAAGTGGCTAATCATTTGTGTATAAGCTGTCGTGGAGATATTGGTACAACACGCTTTACCGGGCACGCGTTTGCTTGCACGTGGAAGGCCGTCAGTTCGAGCCACAACTTGTCCGGTTGGAGCGGCCGATTCCAGACGACGTCGAAGGGGATTAGTCGGTAAGTACTTAGTTCTAAACCTGAACAAATGCTAAAGGAATGTGTTTTTTAAATGTAGGAAGTGAATAATCTGGTAATTTTGTGTACAAAATACTTCTGCGGTCGCGGTAGGTAGTGGCGGGAAAGCGCGTACGCTCCAATACACTCACACACACATAGGCACGGTCATTGCGTTGCGTGGCGCGCTGTACATTGCGGGCTGCGGAATATTGTATTTTTTTTAATCATAAAAATAAAAAATATTTCCCACCAATAATATTTTGTAATATTACTTGGTTGGGTGTACAGAATACGTAGTTTCAGTCTTCGTGATAGGTTTTTTTACGTTCGTGGTGAGGTGCGTCGAATTTTGTCAGTATGCGTGCGCGCCGCATACGTATATTGGCGCGCTCACATACAAACCGCGCACGGTGCGTTTCTATGAAGATGACCTACTCATTTGTATTTACTCTGGTAAAACTGTATCGTTTTCCCTGCAGGCGAAGCAGCATCGCGTAGTTCGGAACGCAGCAGCGGCAGTGGTTCCAGCGCAGGCGGGCAAGCTGGCTGGTCGGGCTCCCGCGAGTGGCGCGAGTGGCGCTCCCGGCGCGCCCGCGAGCCGCACGCGCGGCCGCGTCGCATCGCGCCGGAGCGGTATCTCAACGCGTCATACCCGTTCCAGGTCAAGTTCACGCCGGATGACTTGCTCACTGGTAACTATAAATGTTTAGTCAGATTGAAATGTATAACATTACTGTGAGGTCTCACAGTGCACGTTAATGGACAGGGTTTCGCGATCCAATCGTAGAGCCAGAGTAAATACAAATGAGTAGTAACACACTGACAAAATTCGGCGCAACCACGACTGGCTCCCCGATAATCCACGATAAATTTTGTCAGTGTGTGCGTGCGCGCCGCATACGTATTTGCGCGCTCACATACAAACCGCGCTCGGTGCGTTTCTATGAAAATAACCTACTCATTCGTATTTACTCTGATAGAGCTCTATTCAACGCTGTGCGTTCGATTTGCTGCTCCACTTAAGCAAGAGTCGTTTGTGAATACGGAAGTAAATCTTACCAAGCTACATAGACGATACACAAACTGTGTCACTCACGCTAGGCTATGCCTGTCTTGTATTTGGTTTTCACTTCAACAACATAATTATGTTCTCTTTATGAAGCTACCAACAGCACTTCCAAATGTTCCTCTTAAGTTTACAGATTCATGAAACATTTATTGCCTCAGATCCATCTATTAAATATTATTTACTATCAAAGTCAACTATCGGTAGATATAATTTTAATGATTACTTCACTAAGTATGTGTTATTGTCTCAGGATCAAAATGGGACACACTGTCGCAAGAGATGTGGGATAAGTTCGTCAAGTCGCAGCAGACGGAGGAGACCTTCAGGAAGAAGATGAACCTGTGGCGGTACCTGTACATTACTATTAAGGTAACTGACATCACAATTTTAACCGGCTTTTAATGTTATTGTTGAGCATATCTAGTTTAGTGTAAACTTGTTGGTAAATGATAAAATAAAATAAGCCGCCTTTAACGACTTGTTAAAAACTATTTACGGTTTGCGCCAGTGCTGCACTCTGGCGGCATAACGTAGCAGTAATATATCCTATCAACCTTAGAAATGTGCTATGTACTTGTAAACCTGTTTCAATGAGGGCTATCGTTTTAGCGCTCACCAGTTTGCGCCACTGTACAGTAAGGTCCTGTCACTTGCTAGTAGCGAAGACAGTGGCACCATCTGGTGAGTGCTAAAGTGGTAGGAGGACTATCGCATTTGCACTCATCAAGATGGCGCCACTGTAGAGTAAGGTCCTGTCAATCGCCAGGGGTGCCAACTGTTAAGTATAAAAACGATAGCCCTCATTGTATATTTACATCTACAGAGTAGGACCATATTAATAGCATCAATTTATCATTAATTTGTAATGTTTGTAATTGAGTTAAGCCATGACAGATGTGAAATTGATTTTAGTTTATCGCATTGTAGTGATTTATCGTAAAAGTGGGTGTGGCTGTCGTTACTAAATGTTTATTTTGACTACAAAATAACATTTCATACCAGTAGCTCACTGAACATAGGTTTTGCTTTTTCATGCGTTCATTTTGGATCTCTTGGAAAAATAATTGAAATTCCATTTTAATTCTGTCTTATTACCGACATTAAAGACTGACGTAACATTACATCACACGTCCTTGCCACCGTTTGCCAGAGTGAAACAATCAAGATATTTCCGTATTTCTTCGATATTTACATTTCACGTGTTCGTTTGTGACGCAGCCATTGGATTCTGTCGGTGATTCAAAACGCGTAATGTTTATATTGGGCTGTGTGTAAATTTACGTCATCGCGGTAATCGGTTTGAAATCGCCGATGTGACGTGTAAGACGTGTTGCACAGGCGTCGGAATTAGATCAAATAAACGTCGTGTTAGAAAAAACAATTCAATACACGGTAGCTATAGACAATCTTTGGTTTGAATCAGTCGGGTGACGTTAAAAAGTAATGCGGTAGATTTGGAGGGTGCGCTAAGCTGTCTAATTGGGGCATCTAAGACGATTTGGCGGCTTATAATAGTCTGCCACTAGGGCTTGCAATATCGGATAGTTTTCAACTCCGGAACTGATTTCCGATATTGGGCACTCAACTCCGGAATTCCGGTTCTAGTTCCGGAGTTGGTTAAAAAAAGAAAGCGCCTCCCGACAAACACGTACACGTATGTGGCCTCCACTTTAGAACCTTGCCCCATCGGCCGTCTGTTCTACGTACTATGTGCCCTGCCCAAGTGCCCATTGCCACTTTAGCTTGGTAATCCGATCGCTATAATATGTCCGGTAACTTTAGTTCGTTTAAGAATCTCCTCATTTCTGGTTCGATCTCGAAAAGAAACACCGACCATAGCACTCTCCATACCATGGTGTGCAACTTTGAGCTTATAGTAAGAGGCCACGTTTCCGAACCGTGTGTCATCACTACTGGTAACAGACACTGATTGTAGACTTTCGACTTTAGGCACTGGAGTGTTTTGGTCGAAAAGCTGTTATGTAGTTTCCCGAACGCTGCCCAGCCGAGTTGAATTCGACGTATTATTACATCTCCCTGCCTCACAGCTTGCTGCAGAGGAATCGCCCTCGTATTCAGCCAGGCTCAAAGACCTTCTCATAGTCTAAGAACGCCATGCATAAGTTAGACTCTTCGGTCTTCTGTATAACCTGCCGTAGCGTATAGATGCGGTATATGGTAGTGTAAACGTTTCGATAGCTGGCTTCCTCGAGAGACTATAAGTCATCGAACCTACGCGCGAGACTATTCGTGATGGCTCTCAAAAACAGCTTGTAGACATGTCAGAACCCAGATGGGTCTGTAATTCCTTAATAAGGCTTTTACCCCTTTCTTAAAGAAAAACACCGCCAAGCATTTGTTCCGTGCCTCTGGCATTATTCCCTAGAGTAAGACGGAGTTAGGCCTCAGCCTCGAACTTAGCGAGCAGCGGGGCGGCGGCGGCGGCGGCGCGGGAGCGGCAGGATCTTATGCGTAAAATCAAATAGACCGGTTCTCGAAAACAGCGGCGCGGCAGCGGGGCGGCAGCGGGCAACGAGCGGGCAGCGGCGAGGGAGCGGGCAACGAGCGAGCANGCCTATAAAATCATAACTATTGGGTATTTTTGAATGAAATAAAAACTAATGTATTTGTAAATGTAAAAGCCTAACTGTAACATAGGTTTCAAGTGATTTTGCATACCTAGTAACATTCTCAATTGATGACTAATTAGTTAAGCCATGACAGATGAAATTGATTTTAGTTTATCTCATTGTAGTGATTTATTGTTAAAGTGGGCGTGGCTGTCGTTACTGTTTATTTTGACTACAAAAAAACATTTCATTTCCTATAGTATAATAGTAGCTCACTGAAGTAAGTACCCATAGGTTTTGCTTTTTCATGCGTTCATTTTGGATCTCTTGGAAAAATAATTGAAATTCCATTTTAATTCTGTCTTATTACCGACATTAAAGACTGACGTAACATTACATCACACGTCCTTGCCACCGTTTGCCAGAGTGAAACAATCAAGATATTTCCGTATTTCTTCGATATTTACATTTCACGTGTTCGTTTGTGACGCAGCCATTGGATTCTGTCGGTGATTCAAAACGCGTAATGTTTATATTGGGCCGTGTGTAAATATACGTCATCGCGGTAATCGGTTTGAAATCGCCGATGTGACGTGTAAGACGTGTTGCACAGGCGTCGGAATTAGATCAAATAAACGTCGTGTTAGAAAAAACAATTCAATACACGGTAGCTATAGACAATCTTTGGTTTGAATCAGTCGGGTGACGTTAAAAAGTAATGCGGTAGATTTGGAGGGTGCGCTAAGCTGTCTAATTGGGGCATCTAAGACGATTTGGCGGCTTATGTTAGTCTGCCACGCGATAGAAAAGAAATACATAGTAGGTATTTTCACCTTACATCTTATTTTGGTTTGGCAAATCCGCTCACAGGATCTCAGATACATTCTTCAGATTACTTTTTGTCAGAATAATGAATTATTGACAGCTCGGATATGACGCGTTTACCTGAAAAACGACTCAAGACTTGCTATTGCCAAAGCAAGCGTGGCTATGAAACCTTTAGGCATACTGTCCAGCAAGGCTTAGCTTCCAGCTTACATACTGCTTACAAACTATAAAACTGTTTAAGAAGCTTCACCTCCAGTAGATAACGACTAGTACCGGACTTACAGATCTCACTTGGATTTAGGGGAGCCCTCCTCCATCTCGAAAAAATTGAACTTTTTAATAAAGCAAGCCAGACTTTTTTGAGCTTATGTGAAGGTTTCGCCCTTAAGGGCCCCTAAACTAGCTGGGCCACTAGGCCCGGGCCTTATAGGCCTACGCGGAAATCCGGCTTTGTTAACGACGCGTAGAAGGCCTCCTTTTATTTGCAGAAAATAAAATTAAAGGTCTTCTCCTTTGTCAACAGTCAATATTCCCGCGCTACGGGCTGTACGTGGTGGGCTCGACGATGTCGGGCTTCGGCCTGGAGTCCTCCGACATGGACCTCTGCCTCTACGTGCGCCCGCTGGACAATGTGGAGCCCCGGGCACACGCCCTGCTGCACCTCAACTACATCCTGGGATATATCCGCAGCTTTGATCCCGGTGAGCAAATACAAAAGAGTCCTGTGCGCCCGGACTACACTCAATCAACATGGAGGTTGCACCTACACTACATCCTTAGCTTTGATCCCGGTGAGTATAGCAGCCCGAGCTCCCGGACTACACGGCTTCGGCCTGGAGTCCTCCGACATGGACCTCTGCCTCTACGTGCGCCCGCTGGACAACGTGGAGCCCCGGGCACACGCCCTGCTGCACCTCAACTACATCCTGGGATATATCCGTAGCTTTGACCCTGGTAAGTTAATTCAATAGCCTGTAGTATTTTAGCTTTGAGCGCCCAGACTTCACTCGGACACAAGGTGGAGATAGCATCTTACCTAAATCTGGAAATAAACCTGCAGCTTTAATCTTGAGTTCAAATTCTTTGTTACTGTAATGTAACTTGTAGTTGTAGTACTGTACTGTAGCTCTATACGCCCGGACTACACTCGAATACAAAGTGAGCACAGTGTAGCCTCAGCCTCTCTATAAATTAAGTTGTGTATGTGGGGATACTCACCACATGGCTCACCAGTTAGCGCCACTGTAGAGTAAGGTCCTGTCACTTGCTAGTAGCGAAGACAGTGGCACCAACTGGTGAGCGCGAAAGTGGTAGGAGGACTATCGTATTTGCACTCGTCAAGATGGCGCCACTGTAGAGTAAGGTCCTGTCAATCGCCAGGGGTGCCAACTGTTAAGTATAAAAACGATAGCCCTCATTAAATGACGTATTTCGTCGTATTGTCTCCAGGCGCAGAGCTGATCCAGGCCAAGGTGCCGATCCTGAAGTTCCGCGACGCGCGCAACGGGCTGCACGTCGACCTCAACTGCAACAACGTCGTCGGCATCCGCAACACCAACCTGCTCTACTCATACTCCAGAAGTTAGTACTCTCATGGATAGGTATGTTAGCGATTCTTGTAGTGAAAGCGTACGGGAGTGTGAGCTTCCTAGCAAATGCAATTCGGCTTCGCGCACTGAAGGTCTAAATTCGAACGGCATGTGTCTCTTTTAAACATCCTAAAGTCTGTTCGCCGAGAGTTGATAAATATTATGAAATGTCTTGCAATAGCGACTGTCGCTTAATTATCGCATTCTGTATGGCGGGCGTCGTTTGTCACAACGCGCACTGAGTACCATGGTACGAGCCACGCTGTCGTCAAGCGCCCTGGCCGGCGGGCCGCAATATGTGAAACGGAATAGATTTATTTTACATAAGACCGAAATGAATGGTATGACAGTGGGTAGGGCTTTGCCCAACATTGGGATACACTATAAGCCACTTGATAATAATGAAATACTTTTTATCCAACACATGGACGCCACGTGTTTGATCCGTATCCCCACGTATGCCCTAACCGGAATAATTCCCGTAAATTTAAAAGAGATAATAATGATAATCTACCAACTTTTTCATTATATGTATCGACAAAAATAATTAGCGGGCCGCAATTTATAATGAGTTTAGAACCTCTTGATATTTAATTTTTTTTATCAACTCTCGGCGAACAGACTTTAATATTACTTTAACCCTACCACTGCTTCGGGATAATAAATAGGACAGTGCAAGATACTTGAGTCACTTGTCAGCCAACCAGGCTAGGATGCGCGCCGTGATATACTTTATCGACAGCAAAATATATGGGCGAAATCGATAAAATGCCGTGATAACCGCTTACCGCTGTGTGCATCCTAGGCCTACAGGTCGTGTTACATTTTGTTCCCTTTTATCTTGTTTGGATTTAAAATTCAGATTGTGAAAAATAAAGTTTTTGCGAGAAAATGCGATTACCGCTTTTGTCGCTGTTTCGTCAACGGCAAAACTATCACAACTGCAAACTTATTTTACGCTTGTTTTTATGTAATTTCAAGCCTTTTGATAGAATGAAAATAAATGTTTCTATCTCTACTCGCTCGTCATTGATTGTCGCCAGTGGAATGAGTGTATTGCGCCAACTCGTATCTAGTTTCTAGATTTACTTTATCCTCTAGCTCATCCAGATGAAAAGTTAAGTACCTATCAACACTCTTTTTGGTCTCTATTAACTTTTCGTTCATTGTCGACAATAGAACAAGTGCATTTCGCCGAATCGCATCTATCTCTAAAGCCCGGTCTGTGAGCACGTAGAATTTCGTCCAATGACCCCAAGCTACCCATCCTTATCGCTCGCTCGTAATTATATGTATTGCTGTCGCGCTCGCATCCTCACTGCGGGCGCCCGTCGCACAGTCGCGACTAGACTACCAGACTATACTCGCTTCTCATTAACCATCGGCAGTAGTCCAAATACCTGCACAACCTGAATAAGTCCTAAGCACCATAAACATAAAGTTGCATTCGCAGTGGACTGGCGCGTGCGGCCGCTGGTGGCGCTGACGAAGCTGTGGGCGCAGGCGCACGACATCAACGACGCGCGCCAGCGCACGCTCTCCTCCTACTCGCTCACGCTCATGGTCATACACTTCCTGCAGTGTGAGTATTAATACATTTTTCTTAGTGAAGTAGGGAATAAGCATGTTTTTTGCAGCCTTGAAGAACTATCCATTTAGAAACGCCGCAAAGTGAACGCAGAGTTAGCTTGATCCATGATTCACCGTATTCCGCTTGCGCGAGGCATTTAAGTTTCTGTCAAACCAAGGCGTTCTGTCTGGATTTAGCCATAGCGTTCCGTCTGGATTGGTTAACTGGTAGAAAATAAAGAAAATGGTGTACTAAATACTGTGCAGTATTTAACTGCCTAAATAATAATAAAAACACAGAATGTACTTTTTTAAGTTGCCTCAAGACACTGAGAGGTAAATAAGTAGTTAATATTATTCATGATAATTCATGCTAAATCATGTATTTCCTCCACCATTTTCCGCAGTTTGGCACCTCACGTCACATCATTTTACCGAAGTCAGCCCTATAGATTCGGCGCAGTGCCGATCACTGACGTTTGTCAACAAAATGGTGCTTGACTCTTGAGACAGGCTAAATTACACCATATTATTATTGTTGTTTGCGCGCTTATGTTGGCAACAAAGAGTTCTCATGTTCTACTGTTGGTATACATGCGTGCCTCTTCCCGACCATTCGCCAAAGTTCCTTGGCGTCTAACGCCATCTATTTCTCCGCGGCGTAAACTGTTGTGCCGCCTACCAAACATTTGAAAGAAAAAAGACAGTTGCCCGTTGCCCATACTCCATTTTTCACGTGTGCATCTACGCCGCTACAAAAAACTATTTTATTCTATCGTTTGGTGATTTTGTGCGAGGTGCAGTGTTTTCCGCTATTCGAACGACGCCCTCTGATATTGGATTACCACGAGGAGTGCTGGAACTGGGATAGGGAGCCCGGTGTCGCTGTTACCAGGTCAGTGCATGAGTCTCACATAATCCCAATATATCGGGTAAACTCCTTCCTCGGCAACTCACACAGTTATTCTATTCCCGCATCGCATTTTGTTAAAGTAACCGACGGTCTCATTTCAGGTATATCATCAAGATGAGAAGATACAAAGGGCACGATCGGCCAATCGGCGATGGGAGATTGAGCCCATAAGGGGCCATGCCACCATAATGATTGCGCGATTAATTGCGAAGGTAAAAGACCTCGCGAGACACAGTCACTGGGATTCTCAGATCCGTTTATATGAAAAAAGCGGCCAGGTGGCAAATTATCGTGTATTTTACTAACACGGTTGGCGACAAACATTTGCCAACGGTGCGGCGATGAATGAATCCACGACAGAGCGATAGTGGAATCTGAAAAGGCGAATATTTCATTTATAGGGTAGCGATTATCAAATGCGGCGTGAACTCGTTTAATAAATTCAGAAAGAAGCAATGCGGCACACAATTCGAGCCTAGCGAGCGTTATAGTTTTGAGCGGAGCGACTTTCGACCTTGAACATACTAATTGTATAGAAATGTCACCGTTCGGATGCGTTACATGCAAAAAAATTACACAGCCATATGCCTTAAGACTGGCATCTCCGAAACCGAGTAAGCGGACAGTGCAACCTGCTGATATGCCCAAGTGGCGCGGTATTTGCAAACTTGATAAAAGGGGCAATTCATTTTTAAATTCAGTGAAGCGGTCAATAATTGGTTGAGGTGGTACTTCATCCCAATCAATTTTAGCGAGCCATAAATCTTGAAGTAAAAGCTTGGCGTAAAGTATAACAGGCGCAACTAAGCCGAGTACATCAAACAAGCGAGCAATAGTAGATAAAATCACGCGTTTAGTATTATTAGCGGGAGTTTCGTTAATTGTGAACGTGAAATCTACGTAAAATTCTACGTCTGCGGACACGAAACTGGTGACGGCCGAGCGATGATCGATGAGGAATAGTATTGCGATCGCCGCCGCGCTTTTCGTGGGCGTCACCATATACTGTCATGTTGTATGCATCGCCCCACGCCGAGCCGCCCTGCTGTCACAATCGCTCGGCCCGTCGCCAGTTTCGTGCCCGCAAGTTCACATTAAACGAGTATTATGTAAAGGTCGGGCAACGAGAGTCGAGGCGAACTTGGTACTATACTAGCGTAATATTTCCATACAGGAACACATAACATTTAAGTGGAAAATCGCTAGCCACCTCATTCTTGCTAACATAACGAATGTGTACAAGCGAGACAAAAAGAGCTTCTCGGTCAAACAGGAGAATTCCTAGAGTTGGGTTACAAATCAATGAAGTTCTAAAATTAGAAGGAACATCCTATACTTACTTGTACAAGGAAATGAGTACAATGGGTCAATGGACCATTCTAATGGCCATCAAATATGGTAATCCTCATTTTTCTTTTGTTTTTAACTTGTTCACCCGTGACGTAGTTTTGACCCTTTCACAAATACATAGTGTAGTTGCCAAGAGGTGACAAAATAAAAGACAACTCACGTCCTTATTCCCTAGGAAGAGGTTGGCGTCGGCCGCGGTCCCGAAGCCGGTGAGCGACTTGCCGTTGGGCGTGTGCGCCAGCAGCCGGCGCGCGCCGCTGAACACGCTGAAGGCCAGCGCGCGCGCTTCAGCCCCGCCCCCCGCGCCCGCGGTCCCCTCGCCCGCCGCGCCCGCGCCCATACCCCACGCTTCGCAGATGCCTTCTAGGGAGATGATCTGTGGATAATGGATGTATATTAATACCCATCTTTTTGAGATAACGACATATCTAAATGTCTGGCAAAGTCTGGTCTCCGAGCATGTAGAATTTCGTCCAATGACCCCAAGCTACCTATCCTTATCACTCGCGCGTAATTATATTGCTGTCGCGACTGTGCGACGGGCGGTAGCAGTGCGTGTGCGAGCGCGACAGCAATATAATTAATTACGTGCGATCGATAAGGATGGGTAGCTTGGGGTCATTGGCCGAAATTCTACGTGTTCGGCGACCGGACTATAAATCTATATATATAAAAATGAAACCCGTTTTCCGTTGTCCCGACATAACATGAAAACGGCTTGACCGATTTGGCTAATTTTCTTTTTGTAGTTTTCTAATACTCAGTACAAGGTTTTTACGGAAAAAAATATAAAGAAAATCTCTACGCTAAGGCGGTACGAAGTTCGCCGGGTCAGCTAGTATGTGATAAAACTAAGGTAAAAACTTCAATCAGCGAACGGCGAAATATCCCATCAAGTAAATTATAACAGTTCTTTTCTACACATTTATTTTATAGCACATTGTCGTGGCAAGCTCTTAGCAACACTGACACTTTTGCCATTTATACAATTCCATTTCAAAAATTACAATAATGAAAACATATGTATTTAACCAATTTGTGACATACCTTGATTAGTGGGTTATGGTGCGCCAGATGGTGATGCGCCCGCGCCGCTAGCCTCAATAACGCGTGCAATGCAGCGGGCCTATGCGCGTGCGACGCCGGCGGCTCCACTAAATACAACACTAGCGCCGGCGGCCCGCTCTCGTCCTCCTCGAAGGAGTTGACGCATCCCGTAGCGGACGCTGCGTTGGATTCTTCGTCCGTAGCGGTGGGCGTGGTTTGGTCGGACGCGGGCGGGCGCGGCGCTGGTGCCGCTGGCGTGAGGTTGACAGAAGCCAGTAGAGGGAGTAGTGTTGTTCGTAGCGCGTCGGCGTACGCTCGTAAGTAGTCGCCGAGGCGGCCGGGAGGCGTGTCGCCGAGCCAGTCGTCGGTGCGCTCGCGGTCGCGGTCCGGCGCCGCTCGGTAGATGCCGTCGCGAGCCACGCGGGAGAGCGGCCGGTGCCGGCCTAGACGACAAGCCTGCAAGTTTGATAAGATTTTTAGGCTACAATTCTCAGGCTCACGGACACATTATTGGTTAGCTTATGACCCTGCTATAATATTGTAATCAAGTTTAAAAACTATTAAAATTGTAGATCTCTCTATCAAATCAATAAAACATCCTGCCACTATGTCTACTAGAACATGTCTTATGAAAAAAAATAAAGAAGTAAACTGCAGCCTTTGGGCTTACACTAATATTCATGAAGGTGCACACAGAACACGAGCGTCTGTATCGAAAAATAATATACGCAACGCAGTGTAGCGTGAACGCGTGAGACGGATTTGAACTAATAGGCAGGCACACGCGGCGAGTACCCGTCGAGGAGCGCAGGCCCACGTCAGACGTCTATAGCGATTCTGTGCACCCGCGCAAGTTTTAGCATACAGACTAAAGCCATGTTGTATTCATTAGGCAATATTTGTTGATAAAGTTTATGACTTATGTGTTATGGCAGGTTTCTGAAACTTAGCCGTCCACACTTGCTCTCCAATCATAGCGGGCAGCACAGCAACATGTATCATAAACAATGTTTCATCACCTATGTTTATGGACTGTTTATAAACTGTTTACAAATATGATGAAACATTGTTTATGAACAGTTCAATAAATGTTGCCTAATGAATACATGGCTTTAGTCGTCACGTCTGCGGGCAGGGAAACGGTATGTACACGTCACGTTTGTGGGGAAGGTAGGAAATGTAGGAATGGTTACCGGATGAGATAGCAGATATCACGCTCCAAAGAATCTGGAAATTTATAGACTCAACGGGACTAAGCAGTGAACTCTAAAGACAAGGGCTGCCACAATAGATCAAACCTGGTCGAGTTGGCGCAAATAAAGGCCCAAAAACCAGTAATAAGTAATAATACCTCGTAGGCGGCGGCCAGGTCGCGGAAGAAGGCGCGCGCGGGCTCGGCGAGCGCGTCGGGGTCGGCGCACAGCACGACGTACTGCACGTCGCGCGCGTACGCGTACGGCTCCAGCGCCAGCCGCTCCCAGTGCCGCAGCGCGTACGGCGACAGCGACACCTGGGGGAATTATTCATTACTTAGTATCCACTTAAGGTGCACAACCTTTTAAGCGGCCATTACGATTGTTGTTTAATAATATTATGTCGTATCGTTCGTTTCAGCCGAAAGACGTCCACTGCTAGACAAAGGCCTCCCCCAAGAATTTACTGCACGTCGCGCGCGTACGCGTACGGCTCCAGCGCCAGCCGCTCCCAGTGCCGCAGCGCGTACGGCGACAGAGACACCTGGGGGAATCATTTATTACTTAGTTATTGCATAATTTGTTCATATATTTATTTATTTATTTTGGCTTTTCAACAATGAGTACACTATTAAAATTTAAAATACATAACCTAAATTACATGTATAAGTGCCCCATCACTTAAAGAAAAGCACTGCATCAGCTAAATAATTTGTAACTACGCAAAAAAAAATGCAAATACTACCTACACTACAGTACAATCACAATATTTATGATCCATAATCTTTAAAAAACCACAATAATAGTCACCTGATAAGGAATCGGAGCTGTATATTTAATGTAAAAATATAATCTGTAATGCTCACTCAACACAACTACTGCGACACAGGCCTGCGAGCCTAGTGCAGAAGCTGTGGTTTATTACATCACAGGAAATGATATTTGTGAATAAAGATTATTTATTATTATTATTTATTTATTTATTTAAGTGACAGGACCTTACTCTACAGTGGCGCTAACTGGTGAGCGCTAAAACGATAGCCCTCATTACGATTGTTGTTTGTTTAATATTTATTTATTTTTAGGAAAACAAACAGCTAATATTATGTCGATCAATTTTGTACAAATAACTCTACTAGTCGCGCTCGTGGCCCACACAAAAAATATAATGGTCCTTCGAGCCGGATTTTCAACAAAATCTCCACACGCCAACATCAATTACTTACCCAAGTTACTCCTAGTCGCGCTCGTGGCCCACACAAAAAATATAATGGTCCTTCGAGCCGGATATTTTTCACCAACTTCCTATCCACACTCACCCAGTCGCGCTCGTGGCCCACCAGCAGCGGCGGCACGGGCTGCGGCTCGCACAGGTCCTCGTTGCCGCGGCCGGCCAGGCGGTGGAACTGGCGCCACGTGAGCGGGCCCGTCACGCCGTCCCACATGCGCGCGCCGCAGCACCGCTTCTGGATCGCGTCTTGGAGCAGCGGCCGGAGGCGTCGCATCAATCTGGAAGTGCACAGATAGGTTAATAGACGAGTTAGTAACGAAACCGATGCTCACAGATCAAGCAAAATAATAAAAGTTCGACTGTTTTTCTATTTTGTGATATATGTGTCAAAGTGACATTATGACTGGGATTTTAAAATTTAAAATAATTTTTGTTGAGATAGAAAGATAAACATTAGTTTGACATACACGTAACAAATAAGGCTAAGGCTGAGTTGCAATACCTAACTTTGACCGTAACTATAACGATAACCGGTGTATTTTGTATGAAGTTTGACACATTTTTTCGCAACCCAGCCTAATTAAGACAAAGTATGCGTTGAAATATTGCCCTATCAGACCTTCAGAAACAGACCCACAGGCATTCAAGGTATCGTATCTCACCTCACGACGTCTCTCGACGAGCGCGGCGCGCGCGCACCGATGAAGGGCCAGCGGTGCACCGCGCCCGCCGCGCCTGAGCCGCCACCCGCCGCCCGTAGCGCTCGCGCCGCCGCCACACCGCCGTCAGAGTATCTGTAGTAACACACATCTTGTAACATTTGCTTCCAACATAATGAGGGACAACTAAAATAGAATGACAAATCAAATCAAATCATAACACGGGTCTTAACGCGACGTTTATTAATGAGATAATTTCAATTTCAATTTCGTTTTCGTGCGCTTCGCGGATTCCCTAGCAAGAGCTGAAAATCAGTGTTCTGCCCTTTTCAGGGCAGTGTTTACATTGAGCTCTTTGCTTTTTGCATCGCTGCGACACACATCATGCAGGAAGTATTCTTCCACTTGTTACTGCTTTTGTTTGTTTTATGCATGCTTATATAACTAGTATTCTACTGTATTCTATTCTTTTCTTAATATTGTTATGCTGCAACTTTACTCTTCATGTGTGTTAAGTGTATGCAAATAAATGATTTATCTATCTATGATTTATAATAAATAAAAAATAATAATAATAAAAATTGTTTATTTTATCAGACACTCATTATAGTACATTAAAAATTTTTGGAAGATAACAATTGTTGTTCTGAGTGTGCGATCTGGAGCCTAAACTAGGGTCACTCTGTATTTCAGGCCTCCACCCTGTATTTCAGGCCTCATTTATCTAGATAATGTACTCACGGCTTCACGTTTCGGCTGCTATGCTATAAACGTCGCGTTAAGATCGGTGTCTTTCTATTGTAGTTGAAATGGAACGCGAAAGTTTAAAATCTTATACAATGAGGGACATACTGCCGTAACATCGAAGTAACTATGTACACCAAACATACTGCCGTGCTAGCAATATCAGCAGTATTTCCAATGTTTTGCTGTTAAAAAACACCTGTCAGATCATCTGAAAAGCGTAATGTGGTTTTGCCAATAATTAACTTTTTAAAAAAATAAAACCGACTTCAAATGCGTGAACACAAAAAAAAACTAAAAATTAAAAATATTGCGTATAAAAAAGTTCAACCCCAATTTTCCACCCTTGGGGGTGAAATATTTTCTTCAAATTCGCATGAAACCACCCTTTTGATAATACCTATTCAACAAAAAAATAATCGTTCAAATTGTTTATAATCGGCGGAGATATTGCGTATAAAAAAGTTCATCCCCAATTTTCCACCCTTGGGGGTTGTTTTTTCTATTATTAAATTTAAATGGGACCACCCTTGAGGTATTACCTATACGCCGAAAAAAGATTTGTTCAAATCGGTTCATAATTGGCGGAGTTATCGCGTAACAAACATAGAAAAAAAAAAAAAACATACGGGTCGAATTGATAACCTCCTCCTTTTTTGAAGTCGGTTGAAAAATGAAGTCATTGCTGATATTGCTAGCACGGAAACATGCGGAGTTTTATTTCTGACACATTATTGGTTAATTTCTGTGATAAAAATCGACGGAAATATGTCACTCGCAAAACTGGTACTACTGAGATCAAAAAGTTTAGTGGCACGGTGTTCATCAGAGGGGAGCTTTCTATGCACTGATATTACTATAGCAGTGGAGTTACTCCCTCAAACGTTATCCGAAGTTTCGAAGGTATCAATCTCTCTTGTGCGATGCATATTGCTTCTATCTTGAACAACCGCTACATCCCGAAACGTTAGAGAAAGGCTCCTTAGCAGTCTGACATCAAACACCTTGGTCCTTCGAGCCGGATTTTCAACGTGACTAAACAGGGCTGGTTACTTTGGTTCTTCGAGCCGGATTTTCAACGTGACTAAACAGGGCTGGTTACTTTGGTCCTTCGAGCCGGATTTTCAATGTGACTAAACCGGGCTGGTATAGCGTATGTACTCACTCGAGCAGGGCGGAGGCGGCGCCGCCGGCGGGCGCGGCGCACTGCATGGGACGTGTGTGTGTGTACTCACTCGAGCAGGTTGAGGCGCAGCTCGTCGGGCGGCGGCGGCTGCGCGGCGCGCTGGGCGGCGCGCGCGAGGGCGGAGGCGGCGCCGNCCGACTTCAAATGCGTGAACACAAAAAAAACTAAAAATTAAAAAAAAAAAAAAAGTTCTACCCTTGGGGGTGAAATATTTTCTTCAAATTCGCATGAAACCACCCTTTTGATAATACCTCTTCAACAAAAAAATAATCGTTCAAATTGGTTCATAATCGACAGAGATATTGCGTATAAAAAAGTTCATCCCAACTTTTTAATGTAGGTTTTTTGGAGTCGGTTTTATTTTTTTTTATAAAATTTTACTTATCAATGAGACGACTTCTGGACGTCGGCGAGACCTTGACTGTCAAAATATGTGAATTAGGCCACAGATAGAATTTCTTCCAATTACCCCAAGCTACCCAGCCATATCGCTCGCGCGTAATTGTATTGCTGTCGCGACTAAGCGATGGGCGGAACGCAGTGAGTGTGCAAGCGTGACAGCAATATAATTGTGTGCTCAGCGACTGGACTTTATCAGACTTCTATATTAAAAAAGAGTAAAAATTGAGTCACCATAATGTATTTTTAGCAGCAAAAACTATCTTGAAAATTTTCAGACAGTAGCAAAGGCCGGGGAAAAGACTTGAAGACACTTTTGATTACTCTTTTGCACTATTATATTATTCAAAGTGGCAGAAGACATGATCACAATCATTGCAACATAAATGCTTTGACACTAGTTTTTAACATAGTATCAAATAAGTATAGTTCATCAATAATTTCATTTGTCTCACCTTGGGCCCCGCGTTGCAAACACACAGCGTGCAGCTATCGAAGTTATGGTCTCGGAACACGTTGAGCACTGTATCAGCCAACAGCACATTGACCAATAACGGGCAGGCGGCGTGAGCGGGCGCGGGCGCGGGTTCAGGCGCGGGCGCGGGCACGGGCGCGGGCGCGGGCGACGCCGCCACGCCCGGGCCGGCCGCGCCCGCCGCCGCTGGCGTCGCGCTGCCCGAGCCGCGACGCCCTCGGTTCGATTCCCGCGACTCGCTTGATGGTGACGCGCTGCGTTTTACGCCCGCTGCGAATGACAGGAATGGGTTAAAATGACATGAGATGTAGGCGTATAGGCATTGATAACTATTACTTAACGGTTCCTGTGCTATATCCGCTAAGTACCAAAATCAAATCCTACTACATTACAATTGTATAATCATTTTAGAGAAGTACAACTTGACTTAAGGAGCAGGATGGCACTGGTTGCAGACCGCTACCAACTGGCCAGTATGGAAAACTTGGGAGAGGCCTGTGTTCAGCAGTGGACGTCAAATAACAGTAATAATAACAGCTAAAATAGCAGTAACAGTGATGCATAGTTTTTAGGGTTCCGTACCTCAAAAGGAAAAAACGGAACCCTTATAGGATCACTTTGTTGTCCGTCTGTCCGTCAGTCTGTTTATATCAGCTAGCACCATTTCGAATTGCTTCAACCTTCAGAGAGCTGGGCAAGGTTGAAAAACAGCGCAACTTGCTTTCGAGGTAGCTTGAGCTGAACCTCTTGGCCTATTGTTTCCTGCATTTAATTTACTCTAGTTTTAATTTTAATTGTAACTTTTAAATATTGGTAGTGGGAAATAATAAACGATTTTTATTATTTATTATTATATTATAACTATTATATTTATAAATTTATCTGAATGGTGAATGGAGTTCGTGAAAAGTTGATGACGTAACCAACCAAGCACAAAATTTCCTTCGATGAACTTTTATCTTTATTTGTTCAATATAAGGTACAAAATAGACTCACCCCGCTCGGCGTCGGCGCGGCGCTCGGCGCGCGGGCGGTACACAGCATTGGGCGGCAGCGTGAGCGGCGGCAGCAGCTGGCTGGGCAGCTGCGTCAGCGGCGCGTACTTCGACGAGCCCACGTACTTGTACAGCGTCGGCGGCTTGAACACGTACGACCAGTCCTGCGCATCGGAAAACAAAGTTAAATGACGTCGAATATTTAGGAACGAATTAGATTTTAATGTTATAGGTCTTAAGCCGTTTTTCCAGCGCGTGTTTTACCCTCTTCTTAGTCGAGCACTCTTGTCAGAGTGGTCGTGGTTGCGCTGACGAGGTACATGGTGGGGTGATGTCATCTCCGAGGGTAGCTCTCCTGGCGATGTGCTTCCATTTCTGACGGTTAGAGGCGTCGCGAGTACACTGGAGGACCATGGTGGACTCAGTAGCCTTCGTGATACGTTTTTATTTTTTGCTCTACACATAAATAAAAACATGTCAACATTCAACAAAATTGCCTCCAAAAATGTTTTAATGTTGAGATGTTTTTGTTGATTGTGTAGGGAAAAACACGTGCTGGAAACCCGGTTATAATATTTTTTAAAAATCTTCGGTAGGCGGGGAATTCTACATAACTCGTAGAACTGATGACTGCTGGGTCACAAAAGTTCTCTAGTGGCGACCATGGACCGGAAGACGTAGTATAGGCAAGCCTCTCCCATTCCGTAATCCGACGATCTTGTCAAGGACGCAGGAAACTACACTGACAGTAATAGACGACATAGGTTTGAAACGAATCAACGATGTACTCGACTATTTCGACAACAGATTCACTAATATGGGCGGTAGGCGGGGCTAGGTGGGCAAACCTAACCTATCCGTGGGCAGTAGGCGGGGCTTTTTTTATGTGATAGGAGGCAAACGAGCAGACGGATCATCTGATGGTAAGTGATTACCGTCGCCCATTGATACCCGCAGACTCGGGGGCGTTACAGGTGCGTTGCCGGCCTTTAAGGTGAAGATACGCTCTCCTCTTGAAAGCTTGCAGGTCGTATCCGTCCGGAAACACCGCAGACGACAGTCCATTCCACAGTTTGGTTGTACGGGGTAGGAAGTTTCTAGAGAAACGTACTGTTGTGGACTGCCAACCATCTCAGAACTACGTAAGGGCTACGTATCTCTCTGTCGCGATCGGGTGGCACTACATGTGTGTGGTGCATGCTGGGCGGGTGGGAGCGGAGTGAGCCGGGCCAGCTGTGTACTCGCCTCGATGGGGTCGGGCGGCGGGCTGCCGCCGGGCTGGTGCGGCGCGGGCGCGTCGTCGGGCAGCGTGAAGCCGGGCGAGGGCTGCGCGTGCGCCTCCATGCTGGGCGGCGTGGGGAACATCTTGCTGAGCTCCTCGGCGCGCACGCAGCGCCCGCCGGCGCAGCGCGACTCCTCCGCCGACTTGTTGGAGTCCGGCGGCGTTTGTACTTGCAGCTGGGGGCGAGAGATTGGCATTTTAGTCAATAGAGCTGGACTGTGATAGAATCAATCCCAAATTCTAAGTTTAACATCATATCCGTGATGGTTAGATCTGCATGTTACACAATGAAAACTTCAGAAATCTATCAGCGTTTTTTGTAAATAAATTAGTAATTTAATTATAGGTTTAGTAGCGCTTAACTTAGCCAGTAAACTTACAGGATATGATGTACATAACAGTATGCTCTGTCACGTCATAATATGTCAATAAAAAATATGGTGACCCCTGCTATGCCACTCCCATACCTCAGGCACTCACTGAATTAAGCGCTAGAAATATAATAACCCCAAACCATAAACAAATCGGCTAACACTGCAATACATTAAAATTAAAGTCTAGCACCTCAACCGAAGAAACAGACATAGACAAAAGGTCAGAGACAAAGAGAATGTGAAGTATAACATTTAAGGAGTATAAAGGGGCACACTCACAAGTCTTACCGTCTCATCGCCGCTGTTGGCGTCGTCGGAGTTGTCGAAGATTTGCTCCAGGTCCTTGAGCGTGGGACACAGTCCGTCCGACGTGAAAAGGTTCTTGTACTCTTTTACGTCCTCCTGCACAGGAAATAATACATAAGTCTCACGGTTAGGTTATACAGGGTGTTTCTTGTAAGGTGTCAAGCCGAAGGCAGGTGATAGGTGAGGACTAGACCTATCGATTTCACCCCTATGTATGTTCTACGATTTTTCGTAGTTTAGAAGTTATCGTTAATTTAGTGATTTTTTCAAATTTTATGACCTTAATTTTTTTTTACTTTTTTTTTTGGGTTGACTTTTCTCAGATTTTTTTTTTTTGACAGATTCCCTATTAAATGCAGTAGTTTGAAAACAATAATCACCTTCCTATCTTTGATGCAAGATAAAAAGATTTTGCTAGAAACATAAAAAATATGCTTTTAGACATTCTAAAATTTTCAACTTAAGACTTTGAGAAAAAAAAATTCCATAGGTCCAAAATAACTTAAAAAACTGCGCAATTTTCTGAACTTTCATAATAACACAAAAAAACATGCACTTAATAGGCCATTATTTTCTGTAATCGCTCCACTAAAGTGGTAAGTCGGAGATTCCGTTACATGTTTTTGACTTTATTAGAACTAACTAATGTTTGCAATCCCCTAAGTTGAAAGCGGGATGAAGGGAAGGGAGGGGGCCATGGCGTTGCCGTTTCGGCGGATGTGGTAACCCCATAGCCTGCTCTGTCATTCGCTCGCAGTCAACTATGTATGAGTCGTGAACATTGTTCCGTAACTTTGTGAATATAGTACACAGAAGTGTGTCACGTGTGAACCACGAACTGTCAAACGAAACCGATTTTAGGATGTCACCGGATGTCATTTGTGTGACAGTTTTCAGCGTGCCAATGAATGCTAACGATATGTCATTTTAGTTGCAAAAAACGGTTCTGTAACGTCGCATTACGTATCACTTTTTATCACACAGTGTTGTTAAAAGTTTGCTGTTAAATCTCGCTCGCTCAGTCCTTTCTTGCTTATTCCGCTAGGTATATAACTTTATGGTGTGAACTCACGTGGTCCACCTTCTCCTGCTTGACGTCGATCGGCGCGGGCATGGCGGCCATGCTGGTGTGGTCGTGCCCGGCGTACAGGTCAGCTCCCAGCGCTGCGCCCAGCGCCAGCTCCTCGCGGAATAGCGGCGTCTCCGTCTTGAACCGCTTCACTGGGTGGTCCAACCTGAGAGGAGATCAAGGTTAGAGAGGCACGTGGTGGATTTGATACACGTTGGGAAAGATATCTTGCGTAACAAAGTCGTCACCAGATATTGAACGAAATTCTAGGTGTATAACGTCCGGTCGCCGAGCAGATAGAATTTCGTCTAATAACCCCAAGCTACCCATTCTTATAGCTCGCGCGTAATTATATTGCTGTCACGACTGTGCGACCGCAGTGAGTGTAGCTTGGGGTCATTGGACGAAATTATGTGCTCGGCGACCGGACTTTAGCCTTGTAATTCCGGAAGATAGGGACAACCCACCACCACCCTTAAAAGAACTCATAGTGAGTTAGCTGTATTAACTATACAACCTATCTTTAGAAACTTTAAAGATAAGATAAGATAAGCATTTATTGTTAATTGTGTTGATACAGTGGTGTTACATAAAAGGCACATAATTAAAGGCCAATGTGTAACCATAGCTGGGCACCGTTAATCAAATAGTTAACTTCGTTAATCGTTAAACCGTTAATAAAAAAATTAACTTCGTTAAACGTTAAAACGTTACATTTCGCAAGATTTAACGCAAGTTAACGTTAATCGTTAATCCGTTAACACATGATAATAAAACGAAAAAAATAATTGTATACAAGGTTCAAAAAATTTCGACAGCTTGTATCGCGCATGGAATTTATTCCTCTTTTATGTTTGCGCTACAACCAATGATATTACAGAAATAATATCATTGGCTACAACCTTTCGAAATTATTTGAACCTTGCATAAGCACAATTATTTTTTTCGTTTTAGTACAACTGAATTTCAAAATAAAAGCTTGTTTTTAAAAAAGTTTTTTAATTACTATAATTTTATTTTACACTTTTTAGTAGTGTGGCGATCTATGTGCGCCAAAATGTGAACTCATTGGTCCGCCCGCGGCGCTCCGTGCCGCGCGCTCCTGGCCGGCAATAAAAAAGAAGATTTTATATTGTCACCTTTGACACTAGCTTTTCTCTTGCTCTTTTGATTTTGTTCAGATTGATAATTTTATTTCTTTTATGTTTTTGTAATTTAGTCAGTTGTAAATATATTTGTTTATTGAAAGCCGCTTATAATTTGCTGAACATCTATCTCCGATAAATTAATGTGAGGAGACGTTCGATTCGTCTCCCACATATTGGTGACCCCGTATACAAGAAGACGCAAGATAAACGTTTCAATCTGCTGACAACGTGGAAGACTTACCTGCTTACTTCTCGTCGTCACGATCTACTACGTTGCTACATAAGGCTGGGGCTTGCTGCAAGCGGTGAATATTTTTTATAATTTTTTATTTTACAAAATGAACGACTCTACGGAAGAAGTTTTCAAAGTCGGAATTCGAATACCGCCCTTCTGGCCCGAAGAGCCTGCATTATGGTTTGCGCAACTAGAAGCACAGTTCGCCGTGTCTGGTATTAGCAGCGATCAAACGAAATTTTATTACCTCGTTTCTCAACTTGATCGTCAGTTTGCAATTGAAGTAGTATCTCAATCTCAGAGCCTTGGTTCAATTACAATACAATTTAGCACCAAAATGCTCGAAAAGACAAATCCAGCAAACCCAAACTCGATAAGTTTCCACCGTTTCGTTTTGGAATTCCTATGGCCACCTCCTGACTCCATCATCAGGACCCTGGACATCATCTAGTACTAAAGTGCTCGAAAAGACAAATCTAACGAACCCAAATTCGATGCGATGCCGCCGTTTCATTTAGGAGTTCCTATGGCCACCTCATGACTCCTTCATCAGACCAACTCAATGATACCATAACATTGCATTGTCATCGTAGGTACTTACATAAGTATACCAAATTTCAGCTCAATCGGTTGAGGAAAACTGGTCTTAAATTCAATTGCAAGAGTTGTCCCACACATACTAACAAGTGTCGTTAGTGATCCAGGTTACAAAACTGTTGTTTTGGGTTCTGGAAGTTCTGGAAGCCCGAACGTACTTGTTAGAACGCGTTTTTCTAGCGTTTTTCAGCGTGCCTGCTGTATCTTTTTGGTAAATAGTACTGGATTAACGATTAACGGACTTAGGATAATTTAACGGAAGTTAACGAGTCCGTTAATATTTTTTAAAGTTAACTTAAAAGTTAATCCGTTAATAGAAATGTTAACTTCGTTAATTAACGATTAACGGATTAACGAGTTAATGCCCAGCTATGTGTGTAACCTACTAAATTTTAAACTGCGTGTATCAAAGACGGCTATATGTTTCTTCAATAAAGTTAAATAAATTTAAATAAAATAAATAAATGGCGTTAAACAGTGTCGTCTACGTTTTACACAATAACCACTAGTCTCGCATGACATTATTGCGCTAAATACGTGCACTGTATACTGTAGCGAATTAAGATGCACGCCCACAAGGCTCAATATGAAATTGGGCGTGGCCGTGAACTCGCGTGTTACATTACGTTCACCTCTGGAACACAAGTTTAGAAAAAGAAGAGACTTTACAAAAATAATATGTCAACGTGAAATTATGAAATCCGTCAGTTTATAATAAAAAGCGTGAGAATATAAACTAAGTCGGTTAGCTTAGATAGTAATACAACTACGTCAATACGCTATAAGCGTCGTTAAATGGTGTCGTCCTACGTCGAACACAACAATCATTAGTCTCGAATGACATTGCTGCGCTGAAGGACGTGTTCTGTATACTGTAGCGAGTTACGACGCACGCCCGCAAGGCTTAATATCACAGTGGGCGTGCCCGTGACCTCGCATGAATAAAATGGAAATTACATATTATGCTCATCTCTGGGAATCGAGTTTTCAAGAGACGAGAGACTTTTAATAACAGAGTAGTGACGTTATTATGACTTACAAACGTTTTTAGTCAGTAGTTTCTGGATATAACGCTTTAGCTTTGCTATAGTTATCGGTTCGAAGGTTACAAAAATACTGGTTGTCGATGCCTTAGCCTGTAAGCCAAGCCAGCAATTTCCTAGGGTAAAAAAGACTAGAGGTACAAGTGAAATCCGCAGTGGGTAACCGCGTATCTGACTGCACTAGATAGTCTGGCAACAGGGAGAGATGGCGGGAGATCGTGTATCCGCCGCACAACCGACGTGAACGCCTGAACGTAACCACGACCGCTGGTGCCGAGTGACTATGGGAGCACTGACCAGGCGAGCACGGTGCTGTAGTCGTAGAGCATGTGCAGCGAGTGCTCGTCCTCGGCGGGGTCGAGGCGGCGCGAGGGCGAGGCAGCGCCGGGAGTGACTGTGGGAGCACTGACCAGGCGAGCACGGTGCTGTAGTCGTAGAGCATGTGCAGCGAGTGCTCGTCCTCGGCGGGGTCGAGGCGGCGCGAGGGCGAGGCAGCGCCGGGAGTGACTGTGGGAGCACTGACCAGGCGAGCACGGTGCTGTAGTCGTAGAGCATGTGCAGCGAGTGCTCGTCCTCGGCGGGGTCGAGGCGGCGCGAGGGCGAGGCAGCGCCGGGAGTGACTGTGGGAGCACTGACCAGGCGAGCACGGTGCTGTAGTCGTAGAGCATGTGCAGCGAGTGCTCGTCCTCGGCGGGGTCGAGGCGGCGCGAGGGCGAGGCAGCGCCGGGAGTGACTGTGGGAGCACTGACCAGGCGAGCACGGTGCTGTAGTCGTAGAGCATGTGCAGCGAGTGCTCGTCCTCGGCGGGGTCGAGGCGGCGCGAGGGCGAGGCAGCGCCGGGAGTGACTGTGGGAGCACTGACCAGGCGAGCACGGTGCTGTAGTCGTAGAGCATGTGCAGCGAGTGCTCGTCCTCGGCGGGGTCGAGGCGGCGCGAGGGCGAGGCAGCGCCGGGAGTGACTGTGGGAGCACTGACCAGGCGAGCACGGTGCTGTAGTCGTAGAGCATGTGCAGCGAGTGCTCGTCCTCGGCGGGGTCGAGGCGGCGCGAGGGCGAGGCAGCGCCGGGAGTGACTGTGGGAGCACTGACCAGGCGAGCACGGTGCTGTAGTCGTAGAGCATGTGCAGCGAGTGCTCGTCCTCGGCGGGGTCGAGGCGGCGCGAGGGCGAGGCAGCGCCGGGAGTGACTGTGGGAGCACTGACCAGGCGAGCACGGTGCTGTAGTCGTAGAGCATGTGCAGCGAGTGCTCGTCCTCGGCGGGGTCGAGGCGGCGCGAGGGCGAGGCAGCGCCGGGAGTGACTGTGGGAGCACTGACCAGGCGAGCACGGTGCTGTAGTCGTAGAGCATGTGCAGCGAGTGCTCGTCCTCGGCGGGGTCGAGGCGGCGCGAGGGCGAGGCAGCGCCGGGAGTGACTGTGGGAGCACTGACCAGGCGAGCACGGTGCTGTAGTCGTAGAGCATGTGCAGCGAGTGCTCGTCCTCGGCGGGGTCGAGGCGGCGCGAGGGCGAGGCCAGCGCCGGCCGCCGCGACAGCTCGGCCGCGCACTCGCCGCCGCCTGTGTGAGGCACGCAGGTGCCAGCTGATGGAGACTCCTATAGGGAATAGGAATATTGAGCATTATTTTATACATTTGTATTTTTTTATGCAAGACAAGGCAGGTATTTGACCGTAATCGCATCCGGCGTTCAGTGAGATGCAGTCTAGGGTGGTACATATCTGCCCTGTAAGTGCCTATTCACTCTCGCCTTGAAAAGGCCCGGATTAGTGTTCAGGAAATACAGCAGCAGGCAGCGAGTTCCAGTCCCTAGCTGGAATATGAACTTTCATTCCGTCTTCTTGGACCCCACATTACAAGTTGGCACTGGCGATCGACATGGCCCTACTCTACAGTGGCGCCATCCCGGTTAGTGCAAATACGATATTCCCCCAACCGTTTCGGCGCTCTCCGGTTGACACCAGTTTCTTCGCCACTAGTAAGTGACCAGTACTCCACAGTGGCGCCAACCGGTGACTGCTAGATTAGGCTTGCACTTATCAGCGCATTTAGAAAAACAGTAGTCTTATTGTAAAGAGTTGCTATTTAGAAGATCATGATAAAATCAGTTTGATTCGTATTCACGTAAGAGACAGACGTTCCTATGTGTTTACGCAACACGTATTGTTTAACAGCATGATTGTTTACGTAAACAATTACGTAATAAGCGCCTGCAAAATACAGTTACGGTTAGCACTAAAGCATTGACGGGTCACTGACACGTATAGTTCCAAAATACTGAACTGTCCTATGCATGACATTGACAGTAGGGCGCCACCGTCAATACCGGATCGCTAGTTCCGATTTTTGCCATGTTGGAAACCATATAGTTGAACGATAGTAGCGCCCCCCTGTCATTGAGTTTGGTGGGACAGTTCAGCGTGGGTCATCTATGTTCATGTGTGTGCGACGGGGTCACTGACCTGCTTGGGCGGCGGCGCGGAGGGCGGCGCGGGCGTGGGCGGCGCGTGCGGGTCGGGCGTAGGCGCCGGCGTATGCAGCGTCGTAGGCATCGCGTTACCGCTCTGTGCACAAAAAACACATTGTTAAAATAATGGGAACTAGACTTTTCTACCACCTTTCGTTCTCCTTTGTAGCCTAGGACTTTTCCTACCTTTCATCCTTATTTGTAGCTAAGGTGTAAACTGGACTGTTAATGGGTATTATTCAGAGTCAGCCAATAGTGGAATCCTAATAGATGTGTCTGGTGAGGACTAAAGAGACCGTGACGGCGCAGCACGTGTCCTGCGTGACGCCTAATAACGCCTTCCTTTGTCGGGGCTCCGCACTAAGCGAGTCTAATGCCGAGTAGGGAACTAGGACGAATGCTGGAGACAAAACACCGATAGTGATGTCCCGCATTCCCGACTCCGAAGGCAACGTCAGGTTTTAAGTGGGTAAGCCCTGCCCTTCTGGGAGGAACCTCACATAACTCACTAGCTGTCCCGTGGCTGGTGGGTATACAAAATAATGCATTTTCAAGACAAAAAAATTCTAATAGCGAATCCTACTACCCAGGATCGTCCGCCCACGTATCGGCGTGGGACGTCCACCCACAACGTCATAAAGGTAACAGGAAGGCCTTGGACGCTGGCCGCTACCAACCGAGCAACATGGAAAGCATTGGGGGAGGCCTATGTTCAGCAGTGGACGTCCTATGGCTGAAATGATGATGATGAATAGTTTTGTTTATAAATTCAGTGTAGTTAAGCTTTGAGAGGTGATTTTGGCCTGGTGAAGTGTTATAGTGTAACTGTATAATGTTTTGTTTTTAAATAATGAATTTTGAAAAGTAAAGTAGAATCCTATTACCCAGGATCAATCAAGCCCCAGAAGGGGGAGAATTGACTATGAGAAGGTACATGGATCAGAGAAATTTGTAGGGAGTCAAGCAAAGCGCCCGGGGAAAAGAGCCTAGAGCAAGTACCCGCGCGCTCTCCCGATATTCGGTTCGTACGCCGTGAGGCAGGAAGGACCATGGGTGGTGGTGGGTTACCCAGGATCAATCGTTTCTTCGTTACCTGGTGGTGATGATGGTGGTGCGGGCTGGGCGGCGGCGGGCCGGCGGAGGGCGGCGCGGANGTATGGGTCATCATTTTCCCGCTTTCCCGGGGGTGACTAATTTTTTTAATTATTTTTCGTAGGGTACTGGGATCATAATAAACCGTATATCCAAAAATCTCAAAATTCTAAAGTAAAAATAGTTTCAGGCTCATCTGGGTTAATACTGTGAATTTGACTAAATTTTCTTTTGTATGTATGTATTTAGTTACGACCAAAGCATAAAACTGTAAGCGGGAAGATTGCCTTTTTCCCGCAANGCGGCGCCGCAGCTGGCGGGCGAGCCGGCGCCGGCGCCGCGCCCGCACGCGCCCTCGCCGCGCACCGAGCCCGAGCTCGAGTTGCAGCCGCCCCTGCGGAACTTGAGGCTTAGTACCAGAGTAAATACAAATGAGTAGCTCATCTTCATAGGAACGCACCGAGCGCGGTTTGTGTGTGAGCGCGCCAATACGTATGCGACGCGCACGCACACACTGACAATATTTAGCGTGGATTAGCGGGGTGTTGCGCCGAATTTTGTCAGAGTGCACATACAAACCGCGCTCGGTGCGTTTCTATGAAGATGACCTACTCATTTGTATTTACTGTATTAGTACCGTGTGAGACAGGTGCGGTAAACTGGCTTGCGGTTGCATTGATTCGTCTTTTGTGTTCTAATTCACGTATTTTGACTCAATCAATATCTCGTTAACGTTTAGAAGTCGTCCTATTGAAAAACAGTTCTAAATCCGTAATCACAAAAGTCATTTCGATAGAACGATCACTCGACAGGATCGTAACTCAGCGATTGGTTGTCGTTGAAGTTTTGTTACGTGAATAAGTCTACTGATTTTTTACTTCTGATTGTGGCGGGTTCATTGCTTAAAAGATCATAAAGATGAACTACACTGAAATGTCCCACCGACGACATTGACAGAAGGGCGCCACCATCTACGTTCAACTACATGGTTTCGACCGTGGCAAAAGTTGGAACTAGCGATCCGCTATTGACGGTGGCCCCCCTGTCAGTGTCAAATAAATGACAGTTTAGTATAGTTCTTCTCTAGCACACTTATCAACCCGGAAAGGGATCAACACCGTATTGCATTTCGCACGCTTTCAACCACAAAGCGAGACGTTTACGTTACCATGTGCAGAGGCGGCGTAAGGCGTAGGCGACGTGGGCCACCGCCTACGGCCTCGCGGTACAAGGGGCCNGCGGCGCCGCAGCTGGCGGGCGAGCCGGCGCCGGCGCCGCGCCCGCACGCGCCCTCGCCGCGCACCGAGCCCGAGCTCGAGTTGCAGCCGCCCCTGCGAAACTTGAGGCTTAGTACCAGACTAAATACAAATGAGTAGCTCATCTTCATAGGAACGCACCGAGCGCGGTTTGTATGTGAGCGCGCCAATACGTATGCGGCGCGCACGCACACGCTGACAATATTTAGCGTGGATTAGCGGGGTGTTGCGCCGAATTTTGTCAGAGTGCACATACAAACCGCGCTCGGTGCGTTTCTATGAAGATGACCTACTCATTTGTATTTACTGTATTAGTACCGTGTGAGACAGGTGCTGTAAACTGGGTCGCGGTTGCATTGATTCGTCTTGTGTTCTAATTCACGTATTTTGACTCAGTCAATATCTCGTTAACGTTTAGAAGTCGTCCTATTGAAAAACAGTTCTAAATCCGTATTCACAAGAGTCATTTCGATAGAACGATTACTCGATACAGCGATTTGTTGTCGTTGAAGTTTTGTTACGTGAATAAGGCTACTGATTTTTTACTTCTGATTGTGACGGGTTCATTGCTTATAAGTTCATAACACACTTATCAACCCAGAAAGGGATGAACAACGTACCACATTTCACGCGCTGTCAATAACGAGGCGAGCTGTTAACGTTAACGATGCGGATAAGTATGCATTGCAGTACGGAGTTTCATACTAAGAATACTGACCGTACTACTGTGACCTACTCACAATTATTAGCCATTATTAGCTTTGCTAGAATCAGTGTTTAATTGAAAGTTAAGTGCTAATTCTGTTGTCATTAACTATTTCTCATTCCGTCAACTATCAAAATGATGTGATTGCTTTTAAGATTACATATTTAATATCTTTGAAGACTAATCAATGCAACCAACAGTTTACTAGTGTCCTTTCAAAAATGTAACCAATGTTGAATGAATTACATAATCCCACATGAACATCAAATGAACCAAGGGAGTTAACAAGCCTCTAGGTGAGAGGTAGATGTTATTATGCATTTATGGATTATACGCTCTTGCATTACATCACCGCTTATTATTCATTGCATTTAAATAAGAGCTCTATCAACAGTGACATAAGGCAGGAATTATAGACACGTGAAAGAACATGAAGCGCCTATAATAAACTCTTTAGTGCTATGAAGTTTTCAACGATAACAAATTGTTTCAAATGAAACAAAAAGTTATTCTTATAGTAAGGGGTACATTCAAATGTAAATAAATAAGAAGACACAAAACATGCAATTTAAAATGGCGTTCAAACATTCGGAAATTTCATGCAATATAATATTCTAAAACGCAATAAATAAATAATTAGGCGTAAACATGCAGATCTGAAGCGGCATTGCATTATTTGTGTTGTCCCGTGATGTTTGTATAGTGTGATGGCGCGGCCAAAATTTGGATGGTCGTCGATCGTATTATCAAGTACCGATGAAATCGAATGATGATCAAAATCGTGAAAATTTGGAAAAAACGTATTTTTTTATAAACGCGTTTGTGTATTCCGGTGTAAAAAACTTTCCGGTGTCTGGTTTTCCACTAAATATGTATGTTACGTGCACAGCTCAGAATGACCAGACCCGTAGTTACATAGATGACATAATGATCACCCGGAAGATGCAGTGATGACATTTCGATATGGGCAAATCGAATCGGGTCACACGGACGATGATTTGGTGAGGTGACATCCCGTGGTGAAAAATTTTGACACGTCAGCTGATGACACAGATCGAGAGCGAGTCGAGTGGGTGGGAGTGATGGGCTCATGTGCGCGCTCCCCGGGCGTGCATACTCACTCGGCGGGCGGTGGTAGGGGCGCGGGGCGCGGCGGCGGCGCGCGGCGGTGGAAGGGCGCGGGGCGCGGGCCGCGGCGGCGGCGCCACCTGCGCACACACACTTGGAGCTGGCTCGCGCGCCGGCGACTCCCCTCACACTTTATCTCTCTTTTTAGCTCTATCCGTCCGTCTACATCTGCCCGTCAGACTAGCTACCCGTCAATTTTCTGAGTCCCGCGGTCACCTAGTTGCGTATAATGAGGACCTCTGTTTATCGATCCTTCGTCTCGTGTGAAAGTGAGCCATCGTTCGTCGTCTCGTTTACGTAAACTTCTCATGCAAAACACACAAAACATTTTTTATTTCTTCAAAGCGATCTACCGAATTGACTACTGATATCGTTATCACCCAAAAACCCAACAAATATAAAAGAGATTCAAGTGTGACAAGAGTCTGTGTGATATCGTCGGCGAAAGAATTGATCCAGTGGGATATGTAACTCGCTCATCGGGTCATTTCTTCCGCCGCCTACGCAAACGACAAACCGCAAAAATGTTTGTCGGTAAAGAAGCTGCTTCAACCCTCTACTGCTTAATACTACATAATATAACATACTAATATAACGCTATAAAACATTCACATACATAACATCTACCTATCTACATGGCAGCATTTACCCTTTGTTAAAATCTACACACTGGTCGCTGTCAAACATGCCTCATGTTCTAAAAAATAAGGTTCACATTTGACAGCAACACAGATCAACTCATCAATGCATGTCCTCGTAAATTATACTCTCATACATAAAATACTAAATAAATGCATACGTATCATAAATGCAAGACACACAACTTTCGTAAAACTACATCTATATACTGCCTATTCTACAATAAAATATCATAATTATACTGAAGAAACATGTGCTGAGTTTTTTGAAGGTATTGATAATTTTATGAATAGAAATCTGTATTGTCAGATTTATGAGTTAGCCTCCAATTTGCAGCAAACAAACATGTAATTTCGAATATCGATACTTCGCTAACTTTTCGTTGACTACTCTTAATTTTCAACAGTCTTTAGATGCAATGTCTTTCGAAAAACGTTCCAGAAATATTGCGTGTTTCTTCTTACTTTCAGTCCATGTTTCTTCCACAAAGTAGGTGAAGCCTGATCAGATGCAAATGAATAATTACGACACTAAAGTTTGTTTGTGATTTTGTGGTGTTTATCCAGTTGGAAATAAAATTGCGATTGGCTTTACAGACTCAGAAATTTCATCCGATCAGACTTCAAACAATAAGACAAGTAATGTGTTTCAGTTCAGTAATGAGATGCGGTAGTATGCGTGTGCGCAACTTACTTGGCGCAGGAACACGGCACTTTCCGCGTCGGCTCCACGAAGTCTTCGGCGGCCGGCGTGCTGTAGCACAGTTCCGCTGTCTGCAAGCGATAAACGACACTCAGGACATGCGAACAACTCCCTTAGCTAGGTCTAGCAAGTTTACCACATAACTACACGTCGTTAAGGTTCAAAATGCGGTAAACATATTGAATTTACCTGACCAGGAGCTTCTATTTAAAACAATTAAGATGTCATTAATGTCAGAAAAATCCTCGACAGTTCACATTTGTCTTTTTGCAAACTGAACAGATTTTTTCTTGTATCGTTTTGGAAGACTACTCACAAACGCCTGAGGCTTGACAGGGTATTTGTGTTTCCATCTTCCGCAGTCAAATACTTATTATAAAACAGTAAATACTAACTGTAAATTGACCGATTTTCACATACACAATTATATTAGTCACAAAAACATCTGCGGGGCTACTCCCTACGGTCTAAAATGCATCGATCAATATTTCTCTCAATTTCTGCGTAGTGCATTGCTATTTGAAAATACACACATACTCAGTTGAATGCGATGGTACTAAATTTGACACGATTCCAGCGATTTCAACGGTCATTGAGCATTTTTGACCAAATAATACTTTGAATTTCGCGTTGAACATGATTGAAATCTGTTTTGAAGGTTTAACGGAATGTATTTATTTCAATTTAGGGAGTAACCCCGCTGCGTGTTACAGTCAATGTCAAATACTTCGTGACATCCAAAGTTGCCAATAAGTTCGCAACACGTCTTTATTACAATGGAGTAAGTTCTTGAGTGGCGACCACGAGCCGAAAGACGTAGCGTGGGCAGGCCTCCCACTAGGTGGACCGACGATCTGGTGAAGGTCGCGGGAGGCGCCTGGATGCGAGCGGCGCAGGACCGGTCTTTGTGGAAATCCTTGGGGGAGGCTTTTGTTCAGCAGTGGATGTCTTTCGGCTGAAACGAACGAAGGTTGTCAACTTTTTGGTCACTTTGGGTGTCACAACATGGGGTGCGATGGTGAGGGACCTCCTTTTGAGTGGGCCGGGGGCCGTCGAGGCATTTGCCCGGGCCACGATGCAGGGGACATCTTTAAAAACCCCCACAGGTGGGGGCTGGCGGGGCGTTTGCCCGGGCCCATTCTTTGGAGGGCCGCTCTCGGTACTTCTCTGATCAGCAGAGCTAACCGAGCAGCGGCATAGAGCAGACCGTAACCCGCTACGGCGGGCCGGGGGTCCTGTTTTACCAGGGCCGCGAGGAGAAAACCTCTATAAAAAACAACTGGAGGAGGGGGTTGAGGGTTCCCTCGAAGCCAGAGAGGCTTGCTCGTGAGCGAGCCTCTAGCCTGAGGCGAAGCTGCGGACGAATGTCCAACCAGGACAATATCTCGCGGCTCCGTTTCTTTGGGCTCTGGTGGAAACCGTCGGGTTTTAGTGGGTAGACCCCGCCTTTAGTGGGTAGGCGGGGAGAGTCCCACATAACCCACTGGCCGTCCCCATAGACCAGTGGGTATGCACAAAGCATTTCCCGACGAAAAAAAAAAGGGTGTCACAACGTGTCGTGTCATGTCATTTCGTGGCGTGTGACCTGGTGCGGGCGCGGCGTGGTGAGCGCGTGCAGCGCGCGCGTGGCGAGCGCGTGCGCGGGCGCGGGCGGCGCGGGCGGCGCGCGCATATCCGTTTCCAGAGCGTACGCCGCCGGGTAGCGCATGCGAGCCGCGCCGCAAACCACCTGGGAACGTTACATACTTGTTAATACATATTATACTTGTTGTAACGTAAATAGCTAGTTTCCTAAAAAAATTTTTTTAGTCCGTCAATTTTAATATAAAAAAATATTGGACACATATATTTTTAATTGTCAATCAAACAAATAATTATAGTTCCAAAATACTGAACTGTCCTATGCATGACATTGACAGCGGGGCGCCACCGTCCATACCGGATCGCTGGTTCCGATTTTTGCCATGTTGGAAACCATATAGTTGACCGATGGTAGCGCCCCCGTGTCATTGAGTTTAGTGGGACAGTTCAGCTTGGGTCATCTATACAAAGTTAAAGTGCGTTGAAGTTCCGCGCGACGTCACAAAGTGCTGCAAAAATTAATAACACCAATTAACCTCGATCAAAACCAATACATACAACAGAACTGTGGTATTACGACATCCTCTGACCTCAATACAGATACATAATTTATTTATCAAAGTCATAATAAAATTACATCGCCAAATATAAATTAACACAGACACAATATTATTTTCCGTAACTCGTATAAAAATAACTTATTGGATAATTTTTATTAAAAAAATGTTTGAGGAGGAACGAAGTCATTCTCGTGGCTTATGGAGAGCAACACAGAATTCCTCACGTTGATATAGGAAGCAACAGTGCCAGAGGTTAACAACGGACCATAAATGGACACAGAGATTGGCAACGGCCTGCATCATTTGAGAACAGTCAATGGTGACTGCTTCAAAATCTGCTTTCATGATTTTTAAACTAAGTATATAGTAATTTAGGCCCTAGTTAGTTAGATTTTTGGTTGTTTTTTGGGACAATAGGACTTTCAGCTAGGTAGTGGGACAACTTCCGAATAGTCCTTGGGAAAAGCTAGATAAAGCAAGCCCAAGACTAGGTAGAATGGCATACAAAAACAAATAACAAAAACATATACATAATAAATAATGTATATTTCCGAGTTTTTCCCATAACTTAAGTATCAGTCACCAGTCTTTGACACACAAGGTGATACAAACTATAGACTCATTACCTTAAAACACACCATAATAATTTTGTATGTGATATAAATCAATATGTTTTTTTATTTACATTATGGCGTAGATTGTGGGAGGTCTACATCTAGCAGTGGACTGCTATACGCTGATGTTGATGATGCTGCTCACCTCCACAACCATCAGCAATGTTCGATCGGGTAGCGCTGGCGTCAGGCATAAGTGTCGAAGTAGTCCGTTTTTTCGTGACAATTTTTTTTTTCATGCAAGTGTAAGGGTTAGCCTAGCCGTAGACTACAGAATTTAATCAGTACTAACATAATTATATGGAAGTGCGCAATTTACACCGATTTGGTACCGGCCGATTACTCATACAAATGGAAGTCGACCAAACTTTTGTCTGTTAAGCACCCACTCATCTAGCCATGTAGCATGTAATGTATCAGATACTGTATCAAGTTAATACATAAGCACGAGCCCGCTGCTCGCGCGTGGTTCGCAGGGAGATCGCAGCGACCCGCCGAGTGGCGGTATCACTGCGAGCACAAAGGCGGCTCGCAGTAGGATCCAGGAGCTCGCAGCCAGATACGCGATGACCGTGGACGAGCCGTACTCACTTGAAGGTTGGATACGTTATATGCTATGTTACGTGCTACATGGCAGGTGAGTACCCTGCCTTAGTCTGCGGGGGTCTTAAAGTTCGTTGTGTGCCGGGTCTCACCTCGACAGCGCCGCAGCCCTGCTCGAGCGGGTAGACTTGGCCCCAGGTATAAGTGTCAACTAGTGTCAAGTAAGTCGCTTTTTCAGTGACAAATTGATTTTACTTTTCATGCAGGCAAAGACGTGGGTAAAACTTAGTCTATAACGGTCACCTCCACAGCACCGCTGCCCTGCTCAATCGAGTAGAGCTGGTGTCAGACATAAGTGCCAGAGTAGACCGTTTTTTCGTGGCAAACTAATTTTTTGTGACAAACTGTTTTTTTTCGTGGGTGAGACACCCCGCAGAATACAGGCTTTTAGTCGGCCGACTAAAAGTCTGTGTTCTGCGGGGGTCTTAAAGCTCGTTGTCTCACCTCGACAGCGCCGCAGCCCTGCTCGAGCGGGTAGAGCTGGCGCCAGGCGTCGAGCAGGCGCGCGGTGGCGGCGTCGCTGTCGCTCCACTCGCGCCCCGTCAGCGTGCCCTCCAGCCCGAACGGCGCCAGGATCACTGCAATCAAACCGAGCGAATATTAGCACGGATAACAAGTTAATTTCATCGGACCCTACATTAAGTAAATCACTGAAGACGCAGCGAAATGATGCTCTCCTTCATCTTGAAAGCCGTATGTCAGCAGTAGGCAGGTAGTGTAAATGAATAAAAATATCATACTGTATAAATTTTACCATCTTCATTTTCTGCGTCGTCTTTGTGTCATACGCAAGTGCTCTTGACAGTACATAAAATGTGCAGGCAGTAAACTCACTCTTGACAATTAAAACCAACTTTAGACTATCTTATTTGTCGATGCAGAAAAAGAGGTATGTAGTATATTTCCGTGGATTCTGTCTTAAAACTTCCGACAATTACGCAGTGATTGTGCGCAACCACAGATTAGGGATGTCATGGATATGTAGTTTCGGTTATGGATACGGTTACGGATATAAGAATAATATTATACCGGTTTCGGTTACGGATATTTATTTATTTCGGATATCCGAAAGTTTCGGTTACAGTTACGGCCGGTTCACACATGTAGTTGTATGAGCGACTTCAGACATGACACAGTATTCTGTATACACTAATACATACATCGACGAAAAAAAAACGTACACGATAAAACGGAACAGTAAAACGGAGACATGTGTGAACCGGCCGTTACGGATACCCATAACATCCCTGCCACAGATACCTTTAATGCATCAAGAGAGAGATCTTCTGCTACTACTCACCCTTGGCGTCCGCTTGGCTATCCGAGGCACTGAGCTTGGCCAGCCGCTTGGCGGTGAGCGTGCGCACGGGCGGGTGCTGGCGCACGTCCACGGACGCGCACACCGTGCTCTCGCCGTGCAGGAAGAATGCGAACGCGAACGACAGGTGCCAAGAAAGTGGCACTTTTGTTCAACTGGCATCTTCAATGCAAGTCTTCTCCCACTAATCACCCTTGGCGTCCGCTTGGCTATCCGAGGCACTCAGCTTAACCAGACGTTTGGCGATGGATAGCGTCTTAAATCTGCCAGCAATCGTGCAGTAAATTTTCTGCTACTACTCACCCTTGGCGTCCGCTTGGCTATCCGAGGCGCTCAGCTTGGCCAGGCGCTTGGCGGTAGATTGTACTTTCAGTACATTGTGAAGTCTTCTCCTCCTACTCACCCTTGGCGTCCGCTTGGCTATCAGAGGCGCTGAGTTTGGCCTGGCGCTTGGCGGTAGATTGCACTTTCAGTACAATGAGAAGTCTTCTCCTACTACTCACCCTTGGCGTCCGCTTGGCTATCCGAGGCACTCAGCTTGGCCAGGCGCTTGGCAGTAAATTGCACTTTCAGTATAATGAGAAGAGTTTTCTCCTACTAATCACCCTTGGCGTCGCTTTCCGATGCGCTGAGCTTGGCCAGCTACTAAGCAGTAGATGACCATGACACCTCATAAAAACAGTCTTCGCTACTACTCACCCTTGGCGTCCGCTTGGCTATCCGAAGCGCTGAGCTTGGCCAGCCGCTTGGCGGTGAGCGTGCGCACAGGCGGGTGCTGGCGCACGTCCACGGACGCGCACACCGTGCTCTCGCCGTGCAGGAAGAACGCGAACGAGAACGACAGGTGCCACGGGCTGGAAGGATACGAAACAGAATTAGTATACAAGTTAATTGATATTTTATCCATATAGATCACAGATATTGCGACACCGCTGTAGGTATTAAGACTTTTTAATAAATCGTCCTGCTGATAAAGGGACATACGAAAATGTTTCCTAACTCTAACTTTTATCAGATTTTTTTTACTTTGAAAATCTCATTCAAATACCCATTTGACGACCCCGACGACATCGTAAAGGTAGCAGGGAAGCGCTGGACGCAGGCCGCTACCAATCGATCAACGTGGAGAGCATTAGGGGAGGCCTATGTTCAGCAGTGGACGTCTTATGGCTGAAATGATGATGATGATGATGAGGTAACAGTCAAATGGTGACCATTACATTCGATTGACAGTCGAATCCCGTGAAGGGTTAATATTCCCAATAAAAGATTTCGTGTAATAAGTCACCAGCAAAAAAGATCCTTATTTCATAGTAATCAAACTTTACATTTAGCCAATATGTTCATGAACAACCAATCATCATGACATGATATCTTAAAACGGGATCATCCTCAAGATACCACATCCCCACTCCCGCTATGATCGTGAGCCAAGAAGCCCCCACTTGGGCATTAACAATTAACAGGCATACTTCAAGCGTACGTGGCACGAACAGTTGCCCAGCGCATCAACGAGAACGAAAGTTACATCTCCATGCAACAGTGAATGGATCCAGATGCGGACGCACCTCGACACTTTCTAGAAATGTATGCAAATCGCCGAGTTAACGAGCATACTGTGTAGATAACTGCATCTTTTTATGGTGCTCTATCACAGTAATTTCTTGACGCGTAGCGCCATCTGTGAGATGTAATGTCATTCTTACTACATTTAAAACATTTGAGAAATTTCAACCGAGTAATTATACACGTTTTTATGGTTTGAAAATTACTGTGATCAAATTTTTTAAACTATATTGTGATGACGTATAAGAGTAAATAAAAAGGATGTCTGTCTGAGGAGGAACGAAGTCACTCTCGTGGCTTGTGGAGAGCAACACAGAATTCCTCACGTTGATATAGGAAGCAACAGTGCCAGAGGTTAACAACGGACCATAAATGGACACAGAGATTGGCAACGGCCTGCGTCATTTGAGAACAGTCAATGGTGACTGCTTCAAAATCTGCTTCCAAAATAAATAAATCTTTTTAATCGCTTAATGTTATGTGTTGTAAACTGGCACAATGAGAATTAATCTAATTTGATACAAATTAGTCAACGCAAAACAAGTCTTCCCAAAAGTTACTCCTTATTCCATTGTTATCATAGGACAGAGTACCACATTTGATTCATGGTCTAGGTACCCAGTTCGATTCAAGCATAACAGAATCATATTAGAACTGTTACAATGCCATACCTCTTGCCGACATCCTCCTCGTCTCCATCGTACGGCTGCACGAACCACTTTCCGAGCCTCACGAAGTCCCTGGACAGCAGGCATCTGGAACAGAACACACAGACATAAGTATCCATTGTTAAGTAGGTGAAAAAAAATGATAAAGTAGTCCTTATTGCACTGAGTTTAGGTTCTAAACGAGACTTATCCCACCACTACCACTCCTGTATAGCTAGGATCTGCAGATTGGTCTCCAATGAAACCCAACTTATGCATTGTTGATAACGCGCTAAAGTAAATTGTTACAAAAGTACCCAACAGAACGTTTAAATATCCATATTTTTTGGGTGAATAAACAAACTTGTGTTAATTAAAACATGATAAATGAACATAACATTTCATAAATACACAAACGTTAAGTTTTTTAAACTGCTATTCGTGCGCCCAGTGAACCATCATTGAAGTTATATTTCGTACAATATGTGGTCGGACACGGTGCGTGAAAAATTCGTGCGCCCGTTTCTTACAAATTAATTGTGAATATTATGTTATTGTTTGATCTGTTTTCTATTGGTAAGAGGCAAGAGCTGCAATACCTTCCCGATTATAATATAACCAACTTAGCATACTTCGTAACAGTATATTAAATAGAAAAGCAAAAGGCCCAAACGTTGCATACGGCCTTTCTCGGAGGATTATCGATATTTTCAAAATAACATGTCCCATGAATAAACGTATACAGACATTGTATTTGACACCCAAAAATTACCTTGTCACGGACAGGGGCTGTGACCGTGACGGGTAGAGCGGGCATCGGGTGCCCCCTGCCTCTAGTAGTTCCAGTCCGACCTGATGTAACGCGAGCCTCCGCGGCCGGTTATGAAAATGGACGTCGAGACGAATGTAGCGCTCGTTGCGCCGTTTAGCGGCGCACTTTATATGTTAAGTTTGTAATTCGCGCACAACGTAACATGAGAATGCGACGGAGCTACTTTTACTGGCCAATAACACTGGATTTTTAGCGCTCGATTCTAATATTTACTACAAGATCGGCTCAAACAAACAAGAAATAATAAAAGTAGCAGTATTCTACAATAAAGGCTTTAATACGATGTAGAGATAATCCGATTTGTTAATGTAATCCAGTGTATTTATAAGTCCGATGGCTATTCTACCTGAGGTTTCGCTAGAGCTGATGGTACATGATGGATATACAAGTATCATAAGCGTTTACTATCGACCACAAATTAATTTGATAAGGACCTAAATGAGATTCGGGGCTGGGCTTGTGAAGACGTTAGTGTTATCTAATGAGTCGTCAATCGTCATAGATAACATTAACAATAATAATCGCATTTTCGTACAATTAATCTTGTCGTTATCTCTATAATAGCACTGGATTATCATATGCACAAAGAGCTAATACATTCTGTAGAAATCGTCAGCAATCGTTCTGTACTAATGTATAACATTCTCGAACAATAAAATGCAGGTGTATGAGCGATCAGCGAACAGAGTGGGACTGAGGTTTTGTAAGAGGTTGCAAATATCGATTGTATTGCCATAGCGAATATCATTGTGTCAGCGCCTGCGCGTGTGGACCGGTCACCGTATGAATAATCGCTGTTCTTGCGTCGCTTGCGCAATGCGTAGTTTATAGTAATTGTTGCCCGACCGACTCATTGTTAATTACCTATTAGGCATAGCCATAAACTCGCAAACGATCACGTGTCAGGTAGATTTTATTGCGGGTTGCGGATTCCGTGTTTGGGCATGTTAATACAATATTAACTAAAATAATAGTTTTCACATTAAATTATCGCGTAAACGATGGAGAAGGAAACCACAAACTCTACATATCAACGATTACTCGTATACATAACTTCATACGAATCATTAAGGCTTAATAGTAGAGCCACCGGCTAGTGGCGCACGCGCATCGCAACACAATCGCATGCAAAAACCCGCATAACGGGAGATATCCCACACGTCTGCGCCGCGAGCGAAAATTATAATATTTTTTTATTAGCCCATATTAATAAGGCAAGAGAAATATTTTACTAAGTTTGTATGAAAAGAAAACCTTATTTTTTACGTTTTTTTTATTAATCGGAGAACAAGTGAGCTTTCCTACAGGAAAAAGTATAAGCAATGTGATTCGCTTTAAAAAACATTGAAACGATTTATAGTGGCAATTCCAGATTTAACACCACATTTAACAGTCTACCCATGTATTCCGTAATTACTCTGTCTTATCATAAAACGTTCAAACAGTAAGCAATAAAATGGGTAATTAACTATTCCAACAGAACAAAATGAGAATAGTTCCTTGTCACATTCTTTAACATATTGACGGACGGCCCACTGTTTAAGCATGGAGTTATAAGACCAAAGATTCTGACGCCTGAACATAACCATAAATTCAAATCCATATCAGCGTCAACATTCTTTCGTCCAATCAACGACGTGCCAATTCGCCAATACGGCTCGAACAATCCTCGTGAGTACATTACGCGTTTAGCGCGTCGCAAGTCAGGCGGGCTGATTGTCGCTCGGAGCCGCCGCGGGGTCAACGAACCGCACGGATTTCGTTCAGCCCGAGACGAGGCCGGAGCCCGAGTGCCGGGCGAGGACCGGGACGCACATGTAATCACCCATCACGCCTCATCGCTTAGCTGAACCTAAACTAACCGGTCGGGACTGCGGTTTTTCAGCTACGCGCCGGCCGCTGTTTGTTGAACCGCTCGTAACGTCCTGGCTTCGTTGCCAATTAGTCTGCAAATCTGCCTGCGTTTCACGTAATGAGAATTGCGATGATGATTTATGATAAGGCACTGACACTTTTCTAATAAGAACCCTCTTTCAAGAAGATTCATTTCAATGCATTCCAAATGCATAACTGCAGGGTAAAACCAAGATTTGTTAATCGTTAATCCNGTTAATCATGAAACTGTCTAGTAAACCAAATAAAAACTGTCATAAAGATTGCCACTAACTCCGTAAAAATCAAGTGAGACCATTAGATACCTGCCGTTTACAAAAAGGCAACAGAAGTAGATGCCACACACAAAGCGGCGTATAAACGTTTACAATGGTCAGAAGCAGACACAGATAGCTTGTAAGGGCAGCAAAAAAACGACATTAGAACGCCCGGCGATGCATCGACCTTCGCGATACAATGACGCGATGCGCCCGTGCAGCCAGGTGCAAATCTTTTGGCGCGAATTACGAGCCGTAGCCGGTGCGCTATACGACTCGCTTGTTGGATGACGATACATTCGTCATGATCATTCAGAGCAGCAGTGAGTCAATTGAATCATTTTTGTTATTTACGACTTTGACAACTCACAGAACGATGAGAATTTGTTTTAACGAAATCTTCGTACCCATCGTTAAAATTCAATTGATTCTGCTACACGTATTGCGATAAAACAATAACATTTCAATAAAATTGTTTAGAAACTTGTATAAGTAGTAAATTACAAACAATACTAAGCTTGAAATTTAAATACTGCACTAAGAATAGTAATGGACTAAAAGTGCATCCTTGCGTGAGACCCCGCGAGTAAAAATGTGTGGCCGGTACCTGTTTGATTCTAAAAATAATATGCAATTAATCGTTCGAACTTTGTTGCAGCCGCGACTCGCGACGCATCGATACGCATCGTCAGAGACAGTAGACAACGCCATTACGATTTTATTTATCGCATACGCTTTAATTTATTCACCTTTCTTCGGCGACAGACGGAAGCGTCAAGTAGGTAGGTGTAACACTGGTTACACAAGTGATAATGCCACTTTTATGTAAAAGTATTGCAATAAACAAAATTCAAGTAGATAATTTTGATAGAATTCTAACAACAATGCTAAAATTGACTGCAAATGTCGAAGAGGATGTGAATTATAAAGTTTTATATGCAAGTTTACCTTTCAATGAGGTTATGGAGTGCCTTGAACAGCAATGAGCGGCACTCGTAAGAGAGGCCGCTCTCCCACGACCCCTGATCGCCTTCTGCAAAAAAAATAAAACAAACTTGTTATTCAACATGCGAGGCAACTACAATTTACTTACAAGCGAGTAAAAATTCTTGAGCAGAATTTTACAAAAAGCTTTACAATTTTAAATGAGTCTTGTTTACAAATAGTGATAGAGTCGTTGAAAACTATTCGTTCTTGTCATTCTTAGAATCAGATGTATCAAAATAAGCTAATAAACGTGATAATAAATCTAAATTCGGCAACATTATGACTGCTAGATTAATTTTAGCTCCCTAACGTGGTCAAGGTTGATATGATAATGTGTACACCCCTACAGCGAAGAGTGCTGGTTGCATTGCTATAAAAGCGCATGTTGCAGTGGTAAGTGTATCGCTAGAAATAGCTGTTGTTGCATTCGCAATCGGAAGATAAACTCGGCCTATCACCGGCGTTACATGCGAAAACAAAACCAACGGCGCGCGCGGCGTTGCCGCTCCGTAACCATCTCTCTGTTCTGCTCTAGCAAGGGGGCGGGGCGGGGGCGACCCGTGTGACGTCACGCAGTGGCTCGCAGCGCACGTGCTTGTGTTTGTCGCGCGCGCCGTGCACGAACACATGCGAGCCAATGGTAAACGTCCGCTAACATTTTTAATTGACATTGAATTTTCTATGCGGTCTCGCCGCTATGAAAACTATTTACGTACATTCCTAATTCGAAACATAAGTTTACCAATACGAAACTTAGAGATATAGAATAACCCTTGTAGAATAATGTAGCGTGATGATGACTTTATGTCAAGATAATGAATGTTATCGTACAAGCGCTTGCGACGATCATAAACACACAAGCGGGCATGAGTGTGAAAGAGAATGATATTTTTTGCGCTTGCAGCCGTCAAGCTGGAGCGTTTCCAAGCGAGCAGCCTTGACATTCGTGCTCCAGGTGTGCGCGTGCCATCTCCCGCCCGCAACTGAACTAGTTTTTCCAGTATCTAGCACAGTCCGACATAGATGACAAGATATAATTTGTGTCATATTAATCTTACATATTTATTTTGCTTATCGCAAGTATTGTTAACAAACGCGCGATTGCAGCAATTTAATCGATTAGGCATAAACATATTTTGTTAGCCAATCGTCATAACATCACGTTCAAAATAAGAGATCTTGTGGGTTTATGTTTGCAATGTTGTTAAACGAACGGCGAGGAGTTGCGTAACAGAAATATTGCACCTTTAAAGGAAACAAGCGAGTCGGAGTCGGAGAACCGACCGGCAACTAAAAATCACTAGTCAAGGGCGTCAAGTATCGCGGTCAGGCAGTAACCTGACCATAACAAATGATTCAGATGTCTTCGATCGGTTCGTTTGTGTTGGAATCGGCGGAACGAGGGGCGAGGCCTTGTTCAGTAATACAACAGTGGTTCGTCAAAATAATCCACCTCTTCTCATGTGGTCTCGAATAAGAACATTGTTGTCTCATGCTCCTTTGAAGTCCGTTGTAAAATTTTAATATCTTGATCTATCTTAATAAAAACTTTACGACGTGTGGAAACCGCTATACAAATGGCGAATATGAGCGGATCGTTCGCTGCAATCATTATCACGTCGGCCGGTTCGGCACCATCGAGTACATCTCCCAAGGCCGTTGACGCAACGAACGGTACGCTTACTGTATCCAATACCGATATGCCCCAACACGGGGCCGGTCACGATCCAGCCCGGTCCATGGTGCCATCGACTAGTCGAGATTCGTAAGGTATTAGAAATTCCTACCTAGCTCGTAGCAATTTGAAATGTGGGACGATTTTGAGAGGATGCAATGGAATGTTTATTTTGAAGGATTCGGCAGTCTGTCAGAAAGGGATTTTGTGGCTTTGCGGCGAGAATATTTCGCCATCTGCATCGCTCCAATTTGAATTGTGCGCGAGCAGCAGTCTCGCTAGACTTGACTCTAATTATATTTTGCTGGTGAATTTGTGCAGTATCTGGCTAGTGTTTGAGAGTGCTGTCGTTTTGCTATGCACGAGCGTTGCATTTTATGCAATCACGAGGATAGTTTAAGGTTCAAGGTCGCTTGTTTTGTCGCGGTGTAACGGCGGTGGTTGGCACCACCTTGCGGGATCGATAGCGGGCAGACGCCGCGCGCCGCCGCGCTGCCCGTCTTCTCCCTGCTATGAACGCAACGATCGCCATGCGACTATCACCCGCGGAATGTTTGGAGATGCCGCCGGTTACTGATAACGCGCTGATAGCGCTTGTATTGCCGATTATACGACAACTTGGGAGTTTATGAGATATTGATATCCCTCCTTGGTTTATAGGTAATGAATTTTGATTATTGGTTGGTTTAATAATCTTGCGGATACATAAATAGTGGCAACATGCAGCAAGACACGTGGGACGATAAGCTCTCGCTCGCGCACTCGACGTGCAAGACAATATCTGCATCGTCTCGAGCTTCAACTTATAATATGTCTGTAGCCTTACCTATAATACATTCATGTCGAAACGGCAGTCGGTACATGTTTCTGGTATGCAAAATGCATAATATTGTATTATGGAATTAAACTGTTAGTCAAGCATAATTAATATAAGACTCTACATAAGTTTTTCATCATCAAAATCAGTTTGAGTTGTTTTGCATGCACGGAGAGCTAAGGCTAGATGATGATCAGCGTCACGAGCAATCTTACTTGCCCTGAATGACAATTAGGAACCAATTCATTTAGGAATCATAATTAAAATCGTTTACGTAGAGGTCGACCTTGCTATCAAGCTAGCTAGCGCTTCGTTGGTAGGGATATCGTGTATCAATACAATAAAATTAATTACATAACTGAGTAGTTGTTTGCGCATTGTTCTGCCAATCATGTATTTTGATACTCAATAAAACAAATTGTTAATTCGTGTAGGTTGTGGAAGAGATCATCGGTATAAATAGAGAATGTTATTTTGAGCGGTTCAGGTAAAACTTAAATTGATATCTCGTAAGCGTGGCAAGCCTCGGATTTCGAGTAAATTATTTCAAGGAAAGAGTTTTGTTTGGCGCGGAAACGCTTAAGGAAGGTAGGTAAACAGTAGGTACGCGATACAGTCAAGAATGCGGGCGGCGCGACTGTGTCCATGTCGCGGAAAACCTGCGCGCGCTTTGTTTACAACGCGGGTCGCCGCGAGATTACCGCGACATGCACCGCTCATGCATGCTTCTAGAAACCACTGCAGCTACTTCTTTAAAGGACAAAGGACACGACAAAAATGGACCGTGGTATACTTTGTACATACAGCTGCGACGGCATTTAACCTGATTCGCCCGCCGATAATGTAATTCAAGATCGTATCGAGCGCGTGGAAATCTGTGAATTCGCGCGCGCCCTCTGCAGCTCGGACCCCGTCCCTCCTGTGCGGCGGGTGTTTGGCCGTCCCGCTCGCACGCGCCCACGTGCGCGTGACGTCACTCACTCCCCGCCTACGTCACGGACCGCCCGCGAGCCTTCCACCCGGCCCGATACGGGCGAAGAAGCCCTACCCCGTTCCGTCTTAGTTTATGGATAGTTTGCGTGTATATTATGGATGGATGAACCAAAGTTGACTTTGATAAAGAATTTTATAATTTACGTTTTCCGCGATATTGTAACGAGTAACGGACATAGTGACTGTACATAATGCAAATAGCGAGTTTAATCACAACAATTTTCCTGTACAAAAAGTTGATAATAATTTTCCAATAGCAAACTAGGTTGCTGTATTATGGCTTTTCTTCTCATGATGCCTTCATATGCCAAATTCCAATTGTTTTATCAATTCAAATCTCAAAAATGAACCCCAGACATTCTGGTGTTGAAGTGCCCCGTTCGCTATCATTGTCGCCGGGCGGATCTCGCGGCATCTGCGCAGGCAGCTGCTCGCCTCCCTCGCTTTGTTCCAGCTCCTGTGTCAAGAAGTGACGTCGCAACACGCCGCGCCTCACACACGCACGCCGCGCGTGTGCACTTCCCACTACCACACTACACCCTCACAATTACGCGACGCTTCCCGGAAAGCAATTTTAGACGCTGATTACGAATCACGGCAAAACTGCTGTGTAAATTCTAAATAAGGTAAAATATTAAATAATAATTTAACCTGCGATAGTTTATTAGTTGGAAAGTACAGAGGTCAAATTATAGTAACCTATGAGGAATCAATTAAAACTATCAAATACTATTTAATTAAAACAAATCAGCGATAAGTGTAGCGATTTACTGGAAATGCAGGAATGAAAACACGACCGCGTTAAACAAACCGATGTTGTAGTGCAACCGTAAGCGGTTAACCGATCGATAGTCGCTAGAGGCGGCGGCGCGCGCGCATCAATAAATAGCCCGATCCGGTGCGCGCCCGTCGATATACGTCACGAGAATTTTATTAATAAAACACCGAACAACGCGCGAACACACCAAACGTTCAACAACCCCGCGCAAGAGGCCATTCTTACCTCGCATAGTTACATCACTTGAATTGGACGTACAATACCTTGTGTAATATGCGAGCTTGATTTCTGAGGCTTCAGGACAGAGTAGCCATACGTAAGAATGAAGAACCAAGAGAGACTCGTATTTAAAAGAAGTTACTTCGAAAGTTGAAATAAGTAAGAACATAACCACTAGACATCTTGGTACAAGAGATCAAAGTGAACCGGGTCAGATCAGAGCAACATTAGCACCGTTATGAACTACGATGACAAGCCGCGCCGAGGAGCCGGCTCCGAGCGCATCTTCCCACGGCCTCACTACCTTGCTGTTTGGAAGGAGCATTGCGTATACCAGACCGATAACTCACCATGAGATGAGACCCTCTAATTTACAAGTATGATCGATAACATGAATTATGTAATAATTGATTTACATAGATGGTGTTTGTAAATATTGGTGACAAAATTTCATTGACAGCATAGAGCTTTCCACCAAGCGTTGCAATCCAAGTCTAAAATTATCAGAATCACATGCAGTCGATCAACCAAAATAATCATGCGGTCTGTAGAAAGCGGTACGCA